TTTTGAAGAAAAAGAAAAAAAAGACACACATACGTAAACAAACAAGAAACTAGTTAAACGTTGTCCCCCCATTTCAATTTTTTTTTTTTTTTTTTTGAAAAAGAAATAATCCTCTGTCCATATTATGTATGTTTAGTTTTAAAAATTTCTGATTTAATTTTTTGTTATCGTTTTTGTTATCCAATGTTTGTTCCATAATCATCATCATCATAATCAAAATTGTCATTGATTACCATAATCGAACGTGTATTGCACTATATACACTCAAGTGGTTACCTTTTTTTTCTCTCATTTCCATTTGATTCGCATATATCCTTCGACAACAAATAAACAAAACAACTTTGATAACAAAAATAATAATGTTTGACCTTACTTTAAATAAGTCTCCTTTTTTTGCTGTTTGTTTGACAGCCAAAAAAAAATTGTCATTCAAAATTGTACTTGTAACTGTTTTATTGCATAACTAAATTTACAACGACAACAACAACAACAACAAAAACATTCATCAATCAGACAATCATCATTGAATTATTGGAAGAACATTTTTCTTATAATGAATAATTTACAAACAAAAAAAATGAATATTAATCATGTGTTTCCATTTTGAATGAATTCACTTTTCAATAAGCTGATGTTTTTGTTGTTGTTGGAAAATTTTAATTACATAAGTAACACTGACTATAACTGGAAATCCGGCAATTCTTCATTGTCGTTGCTTTAGGGCAAAATTTGATGATCAGAAAAAAAGAAAAAGAAAAAAAATCAGTATACAGTTACCACGAACAAGATCTTCAAATGGGAAATACCCTCTTCAATAGAATTGCTTCGAAATTCCTGTTAATTGATCATGAGCAGTCCAACAACATATATATCCAACAGGTTAATGAAATTTGTTTGTACAGAAAAAATAAAAATTGAATAAGGTGAATGAATTTTTTTGTTTTGCTTTGTAAAGGGGCCATTGTCAATAGATCAATATCAATTTTTTTCTTCGAATCAATTACATTTGAATTCGAATTCAAAAGATATTATGTAATCAAAATATATTACATGTCATATATGAATGTTTTTTTATGTTTTTATGCTCGGTTGCAACTTAATTATCATTTTTTTTTTCTTCTCATTTTTAACATCGATATTTATTTATTTTTTTTTTGTTTTGGTCGTTTGAAGAAATCAATCAGAATTTGATGTTTCAAAAATGGTTTGTTTTTAATATTTGTCTGTTTGTGATGACTAAAACTTGCTTAAAAACTTTTCCAACACAGAATGAAATCGATGAATTACTTAAAAATATTGATGGCCAATTTAAAGATGTTGTTGGTGTTTTAATTGTTGATCGTGATGGTATTATCATCAAAAGTACAATCAATGAAGTTGTTGAAACAATACAAAATTATGGTATGAGTATTGCACAGATTGTTGAAACATCAAATCAATCATTGAATGAAAATGGTGAAATTCAATTTCTTCGAATGAAAACCAAACGAAATGAATTTATTGTTGTTCCGGGTAAGAATTCTTGTTTCGATTCTAGTCAAATTTATAATCTTGTTTTCTATTTGCAGATAAAGAATTTATGTTGATTACAATTTTGAATGCAAACAATCCATCGCTTTCACATGGACAACATGCTATATCGTCAAACTAGTCATTTTGGCAAAAACATTTTAATTTTTTTTCAAAAAAGATTGTAATTTATAACAATTTGTAACAAATCCAAAGTAATAATCAATTCTACACTAATGATTTATCAAAAAAAAAAGAGAAAATTATGGTATTGCTTTTTGAAATTCTTCATAAGCTTGTTCATCCATAAGTCCATCAATTTCTTTTGAATCTTTGATTCGAATTTTAAACAACCAACCATCATCATAACATGATGTATTAATTAGTCCAGGTTTTTCTTCCAAATTTTTATTTATATCAATAATTGTACCCGATACTGGTGTATAAATTTCATTAGCCGCTTTTACACTTTCAATGGCGCCAATTTCATCTAATATATATTATTTTAAAATAATTAATTCTTCTCTAAATGAATATTTTTTCAAAACAACAAACCATTTTGATTAAATTCTGAATCTATTTCGGGTAATTGTACATAGACAACATCACCTAATGATTCTTGTGCATATTGTGATATACCAACAGTACCGATTGTTTTATCATTCGAATCCAAAAGTACCCATTCATGTTTTTCACTATAACGACGATCTTTTTTGTTGATAATTTTTGGTTGGTAAATCATGAAAAACCAAAAAACAAAATTATTAAATGAAATAATTTCCGAATATAGGTAATACCTGATAGAAATCTGGTTGAAGAAAAATGAATAGATCTTCGTTGTTGATGATGATTCAAGATAGTTTTATTTGCTGCTTGTTGATGGTGTGATAAAAGATTTTTCTGTTGTTCCAAACAAATTAAACCACGATTCCAATTTGTAAATAATAATTTACTTCGATTGATTATTTGTTTCATTTTTCGATTTGATTCGATTCGAAGATCATTAATGAACAGTGGCAAAATTCGAAATGAGTATGCGTATTGCGCGGGTAACCCAGAAATGAAAATAAAAATTCGGTGTTTCCAATCGATCGATCGATTGATGAAGAAAAAATGAAATTAGATCAGGAAAATAAACGTTGATTATCGCCAATATCAATTTCAAAGTTTTTCTTTCACTATAATAACAACAACAACAGAAAAAAGCTGATTTATCAATCAATCAAAATAATCAAATTATATGAACTGATTTTGTGTGTGTGTTTATTTTAGAAATGGCTCAAAAGAATGATACAATCTTATTCGTTTTTTTCAGATGATAAAAAAAATGGGAAAAAAATGTCATCATTATTGAAATAATGACAAATATGGAATTTCGAATCAGCTAATCGGATACATATGGTGCGATTAAAAGATTTTGTTTTCGATATTTTTTACCAGAAAAAAAAATCGTAAAAAAGTAGGAGAAAAAAACGTGGAATACACCAAACAAACCGTGAATGAATGTGATAAAAATAATCTTGGTCAAAATTTCCACAAACAGAACACAAACGACATCTCGAATCATTAAATTTTTTTTCCTAATCACTAGATGTCACTATAGGTTTTTTTTTCTGGTCAGTTGTTTATAATATGGATTATAAATCATGAGAAAAATCATAAACCAAAAATCAGATCGACGATCAGTATTTTCAGTTTTTTCAAACAAAAAAAAAATTTTAACATTCCATTTTTGATTTAGAAATAAAAAAAAGGACCAAAATCAATCAAAATGTTCCAGGTATGTGAATGATTGATTGATTTTTCTCATCCCTTTTTCTTTTTTGTTGAAAACAACAACATTTTAGTTATTGGAAGAATATTTGGCCATCATTTCCAAATATGCCATTGAAAATACATCAAATTTTGTTATACTGATTCTTTTGATTGTAACACCATTGTTTGCATTAAGTGCATACTTATCATTACGATTAGCACGTTCGATTGATCAACAGAAAAAACGAATCAAATCAATTGAAAAGATTAAAATGAAAGCAAAGGCTAAAAAAGAGAAATGAACGAAAACTTTTTTCGAAAACATCTTCTTTGATCATTTTCGTTTTGCAAATTTTGTGTCAATCATCCTCTTTTATTGCTATACAAAATAAATACTTTTTTCCCAATGTTTTTTTTTTTTTTTTTTTTTTTTTTTTTTTTAAATTTTTTGGTTTTTTTTTTTTTCCCGGGTTTTTTTTTTTTTTTTCAAATTTTTTTTTGTTTAAATTCTATGGTTTATATTTTGATCCAGGACTTTGTTCATATTCATCAAATTTTGGAAACACTGTTGATTCTGGATCTATTTTTGTTTCGGATGATGATTTTTGTTGTGATTGAAATTTTTTGATTCGTTGTAAATTTCGCATTGATTCTTCGATTGTTGGTGGATCTTGACGTCGCATACGTAACCATGCTTTGAAATTGAATGGAAATAAATTGATCAATGATAATCGATAAATCAAAATAAACATCATATTTACCATTCCATTCGGGTGGTAAATCATCCCAATTATCAATGCTTGTTGATTGAAAATATCTAACTGTTTTTGAATTTCTATTGATATCTTTGGTATGAATTAAACGATGAATTTCAGTTCATTTTGCAAACAACAAAAAAAAACTTACCATTTTTTATTTCAAAATATTTATTACCCAAATGATCGGAACCAATAAATTCTGGACGACTACCAATCAAACGTGATGGTTTTAATGTTCGAACGAAATTCCAGAATGCTTTAACAAATGGATTCATACCACGATCAGCCATTGTTTGTTTGATTGATTTGGAAGCGGGCAAAATTCAATTCAATCAGCTGCTGCTGCTTGAGAATTGTTGATGTTCGTTCGAATGAAACGAACGAATGAGATTCACATAGATGTCGCCCGGTCGAATTTAAAAACACGGAAAAATCGATTTTTTTTTTGACAATGAAAAATTCGGAAAATTTCGTTTTTATTACCGAAAAAATCAATTTGTTAACGGGAGAAAATTAATAATAACAATAATTTGATGAAACCTAGAAACAATTTTTTATAAAAAACTGATGAAAGTAATTTTTTATCAGTCAAAAATCATGTCCAACCAAACGACCGATAAAACATTTTTCCAATAAATTTTCATAATTAACCCAACCATGTACATCTTCAAACATATTGGTAGCATTTTTACCGGCAGCTTTCATTAATTCATCTTGGCCACCTGGATGATAATCAAGATAAGCAGTAATATTAAAAACTTTACCACGTATTGCAATCCAACAATCATCTGGTTGATCATGTTTAGATAATTCTGTTATTGTTATCATATTTAAATGTGGATCATTGCTGCCAGAAGATTGAATAATATTGGTTAGATTTTTGGCATTCGATTGAAAACGTATCCATCCCATAAGTCCATAACCTGGTTTCAATGCTATTTTTGTTCGTCCTGATCCGGTTGCATTTCCACTGCCACCACCACCGCTATTCGAAGAACCATTTGGTACATTCAACGATAATCTTCGATTTTGTGATGGATCATTCATCATCATCGATTTTTTTGGTTTTAATTTGATGATTTCATCATCATCTTTTCCAGATTGAGTAAAATTCACTCATTATTTTTGTATATGTGCACAGAATATTTGGTTTGCAAAAAAAGTTCATAAACATTGACGATAGATGGCGTTGTTGTTGGTGAAAGTGGTTATTTTTTTTTGAAAATTTGAAATTTTCAAAAATTCAAAATATCCTTGGAAAATTGAAAAAAAAAAATCATTATCAACAACAAATTGATTCAACAAGAAAAAAAAACATTTAAAAAAGTATTTAAAGAGAAAAAAAAATAATTGTTTGTTTACCGAACTTTTCATCGACAAAATAAAACAAAAACTGATGATGTTAATGGATTTTTTATTGAACAAATGAAAAAATGAAAAATTCAATGACAAGAGAATCATCAAAAGAATGAAAAACAATCAGTCAACGAAAGTCAAGTGTCAGTGAAAGTAAATTTTTTTTTTTTGTTGTTGGAAAAATATAAAAATAATCGATCCTATCGATTGATTACAATCGATTATGAATCGGAAATAATTCTTTTTTTACTGGAGAAAAATTCATTCAAAAGTTTGCTTTTTTTCGTTTGCTTTACTCACTTAAAAAGTCAATATGGGTCGGTGACCATTACAAAGATTTTTTTGAAACAAAATCCCCCAACACACCCAAACTTATTTCACCCCACTAATATTATCATCAAGCTTCCGATTATATGTTTGGCCTTCGGGGTCTGTCTCGGTCAGGCTGTGTGTGTGTCCTCAAGCTTGACATTCATTGATGGTGATGGCCAATCATCCAATCTCACCCCACCACCACAAACGAGCAACAACAGATGCGTGTATCCAATCGGGCCTTGTTGCTGTTGCTTGCTCGTAAGGTTCATTCATAAAAATCTGTTTCGGTTTTTTCTCAATGAAATTTTTTTTTTATGAATGAACCATCATCGTATAGTAAAAAAAAGATGATGAGGGATCACAAAAAAAAAATCAGGGGAAAAAAATAGTGATGGTTGGTTGGTTGGTTGGTGTACTTTAAGTTCGTGAAAATGAACCGAAACTCTTCAGAATGATGTTTGGGAAAAATTGTTGACTAAAAAAACAAAGATGGCCATGCTGTGGTAGTTTGGATGTGTTTTTTATCGTTGACAAAAATCGCGTTAGTTTGTTTGAACACAAAACAAAACATAGAAAAAAAGGAGGCAATCTTCAAGGTGACGTGACCACATATCACCATCATCATCACATCCAATGGTGGATATATATGGGAGGTTGTCGTCTTTCTCTTTTCTTCTTCATTTTTTATTTTTCTCGTGTTTTCTTTCGTTGATCGGCACATTAAAAAAAACACAATCTTTTTTGGTGTTTGGTTATGTACACACATTCACCAGCTGCTACGAAAAGTTTTTTAAAAAATAACGAACATCTCGTGTGTGTTTCTTATTGTGGAAAAATGAAAAGCCAGCCAGAAAAAAAACATCGATAAAACGAACCAATGCGGCACACACACACAAAAATAAATAAACATTGCTATTGTCATTTTTTTCTGGTTGAAACAACGTGTTTTTTAAATAAATTTGTCATCTTTGTTTTTAAAATTTTTTAAAAATTTAAAAATTTTGAATTTTTAAAAGTTTGTTTTTAATAGTTTTTATGAATGGACAAAAGTGTGTGTGTGTGTGTTCGATTCTATTTTGATTCTGTTCCGGTTTGGGTTGATATAGAATCGAAGACTCAAAAAAAAAAAATTCAACAAGTTCGAATTGAAGTGAACATGGAAGTTGTCAATCATCAATCGAACCATCACCATCAACAAACATCTAAAATATCGACACAATTATCATTGAATCAACCACAATCATATTATCCTTCAAATAATAATAATAATATTTTCAATCAAATTGAAACGATAAAGAAAAAAAATTTAATAACCTCGACTACAACAACAACAAAAGATATGAATAACAATACAAATCAAGGCAACGACCACCATCATCAATATCATCATTATGATCATCATCATCAACAAAATCAATATGATTTATGGAATCATCAACAACAAAACAATCATATAAAAACAACATTATTTCCATCATCATCATCATCATCGATGACCGATGATCATGATGATAATAATGATCAACAACAACAACAACAAAATCATTCAATTAATGGTTTAAATAATGAAATAATAATGTCTACTTTAACCAAAAAATTATCATCATCATCATCTTCATCCTTGAAAGTAAGTTGGACAACAAAAAAAATTTCATTTTTTCGATGTTTATTTACTGTTTTTTCCAACAAAATGATAATCCTTGATGTGGATTGAAAGAACGGTATTTTAACCTTCTCTGGCTAAATATATAGACTAAAAATTGTCGAAGCTGTTTGTGAGAATTGTCTACTGTGAGACACACCGTATTGAATGGAAAAAGCGAGAGAGAGAGAGAGAGGTCATGACCATACTGACCTTGTTCATATTGGATGAAAAGAAACAGAAAAAAAGGTTTTTTAAAAAACTTTCTTTTCTCGTGTTTTGTTTCGTGTTTCGTAGACACAATAGACACAACTCTGCTGTGGAGAGGGTATTTGAAAAAGTTTTCATGATCATTTCAATGGAAAATGTGAGAACTAGAAAATCAAAAAAACCAGAAAAAATTTTCTCATCATCATCAGTAACGATATAACGAAAAACGGTTTTCAATTCAAATTTTGGGTTTTTCATTCAAATATTTCGACCAATCAATCTTTGATGTGTGTGTAACAAGTTGTTTTTTTTTACGGGGAAAAACAACATTGATAATGCAGCTGCTTTTACATTTAATTCTTTTTTTGATTTTTTAGGGGGGGGAGAAAGGATAAAATCTTTTTCGATCGACCATGAGAATTTTTTGTCCAAAAAAGATAATCAAAAAAAGTGAAAATCATTGTTCATAGATCAATTCCGAAGATCATTAACTAAAAATTATATCTTTTTTGTGTGGACCAGATAAGCGATGAAAGTGATGTTTGTGTGTGTGTAAAAATGTCATAGAAAGATTTATCTAAAAGAAGAAAATTGGTCAAATGTTCTGTCATGCATAACCTTTTTTACCTTTTTTTTTAATTTCTCTGTCTCTTGCCAATCATTCGGTCCTCCACCTATTTTGGTACTTTCGTTGGCCAAGTTTTTCTGAATGAATGAATGAATCATACATCCGATTTTCTAACCTCTCACTACCCATAGATAAAACCTAATGAATTCTCCTTGAACCCTGTCTCTCTGTGTGTATGTAATTTTAAATTATTAATGATGTCGTTTGAATTTTAATTTTGATCAGTAATTCGGATCGGATTGGGATAATGATAATAATAATGATGATGATTCGTGCGTCGTTTGCCTTCAAGCAAGCAATATATTTCCGGCAAATTTGGTTTTTTGATTCTGAAGATTTTCATTTTTGAAAATGTCGTCGTCAGATTTGTTTTTTGTTACATAAAAAAAATCAAATCAAACCTTGTTGCTTGGATGATTTGATGAATCGTTTTTCGTCTATCTTTTTTTTGTTTTGTTACTTTAATTACTTTTTTCCTTTTCGCTTTATAAAATTGAAAAAACAACAGGGACAGAATCATCAAAAGATGGCTCATTTATACACACTGTGTTTTTTTCTTTAAAAGATAAAAAATTTCAGTCATAAAATTGTCTTAAGATTGCGTTGATTTTAAGGCTTCAGGGTATTTAGAAAAAATCAATGTATCTCTTTTCTCAATTTTGTTTCTTTTTAAAATGAAAAAAAACGATGTGACAATCATCAGGTGTACATTTCAATTATCCATTTGAATTTTGAATGAATTGAATTTTGGGGATATGTTCATGGTCAATGTTGTTGTTGTTGTTGTTTCTTTATTTCAAAAGATATCTTCTTTATGTCATATTAATTGAACTTTAGCGTGGGAAATTTTTTTCTTCTTACTTCATTCAAATTCATTTTACTTTCTTCAATTGATGAATTTTCTCTATCTCTCTTCGTAATCATCATTTTCATTATCGATTAGACATCGGTTTGTTTTTTTTTTGTTTTTGCTAAGCACGTTATTTTCCAATGATAATCTAAAAAAATATTAGTTGAAAATGGCAATCATTTTTTTCTTTTGATTTATTCATCGAAATTGAAATAAAAAATTTCATTTTCACACAATTAAAAATCGAATGAATATCCATAGAGAAAGAAAATTTTTTAAAAATTTCCCCTTAAGGCGAATCTACAAAGCATCATTAACCGATGCTATTTTCTATCTCTCGTTTGTTAGAGTAACCCTTTTTTTTTGTTTCGCAAAAATGTTTTTTTTTATTACAAACAAAATTATCTCATCAAAAAAAAAACATTTTTGATTAATTGTAAAATATTTCCTGTTGGTTTGATTTGAATTTGTTTTGAATCTTTTTTACATTTAGTATTTTCTTTCCATAATCGTTTTTTTTTTGTCAATGTTAAAACAAAACAAAACAAAAATTGGCTTCATAGACGGCCTACAGACCTAATGATTTTTTTAAAGTTGGTCTTTAGTGGTTTGATTTTGGTTTATTCGTTCAGGTAGACCATTTTTTTCTCTTAATAGTATACTATATATTTGTACTGCTACAAAGAAACTTCCGTTCCGTTCTGCTGTATGTAATTATAACCACAAAGTAAGCAAACAACATTACACAGATGTGTAAAGTGAAAAAAAAAATGAATTTTATGAATGAATGAAAAATGTTTGAAAGCAAATAAAACGGTGAGAAAACAAGCAAAGAGAGAGAGAGAGATAGAGAGAGGGAGAAAAATACTACGCTACGGTGTTCTTCTTCATTCAACTCTTTTTTTCTAACATCATCATTTGCCCCTTTGTCCACCCCCTCTCCCAATTCATTCATCTTTTTTTTTGCATTGACCTTTACTTTACTATCCACCCACCCTCCACCAATCCAAACAAATCTCGGGTGAAATGAGAAAGAAAAAATCGGAAGATAAAGGCGGCAGCTGATCTTAGCATACACACCTGGTCTATATGTAGATGATGATTGTAGATTGGTCATTGAAGAAATTGGCTAGTTTTGTATTTGTATTTGATTTGTGTTCTGTTCTTTGTGTGATTTGGATACCCTCAATGATGATTGTGGTGTAAGAAAATTGATGGCCAAAAAAAAGACGATGATGACTAACCAAGAGAGAGAGAGAGAAAGATGAAGTTGAAATTGAAAACGTAGCACGCGAAAATTTCCCACGCTCGCGCCTATTTTCTAGGTCATCATCAACAACATTGTGTTTTGAACCAAGAAAAAAAAGCTATCGTTAACCACCACCACCACCACCGTCGTCATCATCATCGTTATCTTCAAGTCTTCCAGTCACATTAGCTGATTCTTCAGTGCCAGTGTTTTTTAAATGAAACTTGTTGCTTTTGAATTTTGAATTTTATTTTATTTTTTTTTTTTTGTTTCGTAAAACAACAAAAATCATTTCATTTCATTTTCATTCAGAAAAACGTCTTCACTACGACTACGACGACGACGACGGCTAATCTTTTTTTTACGATTTTGATTTCGAGAGTGCAAAAGAGAGATGTTATTGTTATAAACATTGTTGCTTTTTTTGTCAATGACAAAAATTACATTGTAAAAATTTTTTAACAAAAAAACAAAATTACTTAATTTTTAATGATTAACATTAATAATGATAATGAAAATGGTGTGTGTGTGTGTTTGTAATTTGTAAAATTTTAAAATTAATTTAATTAAAAATGTTTAATTAATTTTTTAATCAACAGGTAAAATTTGAAATGGATATTCTACTATCTGAACAACAACAACATGAACATGAATTGGATTCAAAATCAAATATTTTATTTGATTTAAATAATATGACAACAACAACAACAACGACATTATCACCATCAACAACAAATGTCAAATTATCATCATTATCATCATCACCATTATCATCATCATTATCACCATCACAATCATCAATGATGATGATGATGATAAATGATCATGGACCATCATCATCATCATCATCAATATCATCATCAATATCATCATTAGATTCAAATGTTGGTTGTGTTCAAAAAATTCCTTCATCATCATTAAATGATGATTTATATGATAATAGTGATATCTATACCGGTGGTAAGTTTCATTTTATTTTATTTTTAAAATTTAAAAAAAAATGTTCCAAACATTTTCCAATCCAATTTGATAGATGGCAGGCAGGCAGATTATAGATTATGAAGCTAGATTTTAGATTTTTTTAAAAAAAGTTTTTCGTTGATGTTCTGTTAGCCTTGAAAACAAGCTTGACAGATCTTTCTTTTTAAAAAACAAAATTGATTTTCTTTTACCCAGTTGGCTTATTTTTTACTGTCAAAAAAAATCATATTTTGCCTAAATATGATATCGTCTTCAAAAATTCAGTAAAATTGTTTAGTTGTGTGGTTGACATATTGAAAATATCTTCTTTTTTTTTCTTTGAAGAAAAACCAACGGAACATTTATAACACAAAACTAAACTAAATAGACTAATTTGTATTTGTCCAAAAATTGGTGTTAAATGTCGATAATTATTATTATTTGGCTCATTTGTCAAATTATATATGGTTTTTTTGTTGGTAGGATTTATAATGATGAATGATATTTTTATGTGTTGTTGTTGTTCAAATTTTCTAATCTCAAATCTCACAGAGAACTCTCACTTCGAATGAAACAAAAAAACATTGATAGAATCGAATGATTGCTAATCAATAATTTAGGATCAATAAATGGTTGACCAGAATTTTTGGTTTTAGTTTTAGTTCGCTTTTCGAAAAAAAAATCTTATCATACAATTCACAGACTCTCTACAGATTCTCATTAATATTTTGAAATAATGAGCAACATTTTTCTCATTACAATTCTACAGTCTTGTGGTTTAGTTTTTTTTGTTTCTATTTGATCAAATCAATGTGAATAGAACAAAAAAAAACTAAATAACCGAAGATGAAATCAAGAGAAACAAAAATTCATTTTCGTCATAATTTTGTTTGTTTGTTTGTTTGTTTCGCTTATATGTGTATTTCAACAAGTGTGATCAATTTCCTTTCTCTGTTCTCTGTTTTTCATTGATTTTTCTGATCATGATGATGATGATGATGGTCTGCCATAATGATGATAAGAATTTTCATTTTTGTTTTGTTCACAAATCTGTTTTGTTTTTGTTGTTTTCGATGGCCCAGTATTTTGTCACCAAAAAAAAAAAAAAATACGCATGCATTTGGTGTTTGGATACAAAGTGAAAGAGAGATACATTTTGTTGTAAATCAAATAAGATTTCACCAGAAAAATAAATCATCATCATCATTTGAATGATTGCTGTTGTTCGAATCAGACACAAAACATCAACATAATTCTTTTATGAATAAGTTTTCACAAATTTGATTTGACCAAAACAAAAAAAAAACAAACCAAACCAACTTGGTAATTTGTTCATCATACCGATTTTTTCATCTGAAAATTTTCCAAAATTTTTACATTCAGGTAGGTGGGTTTTGAAATGATTTTTTGACAATGTTTTTTCTTTCATCTGGCTGTTGCTGTGTAGCCATAATTACACAATCACTAATTTTGCTAATTGTTTTGTTTTTTGTTGAAAAAATATGTAAATTTTTTTCTATTATCCAAAATGGCTTTGTTTTCATGTTTTTATGTTTTTCGGTATATTAAATGAATGAATGAATATTTGTGTCAAGTTTAATCGTTTTGTTTAACTTATGATTAGCGTGAAAAAACACGTGTTTTTTCTCCAAAATCTGGTCATGGCTTCGGTTTTGGTCATTGAATTATTTTTGGATTTGATTTTAAAATTCTTATCCCAAATTTCGTTAATCTCGAGAAATCATTTCATTTCAAGGTTTTTGTTGTTGTTTTTGAAATGAAGAAATTCTCCCAAAAAATCATTTTTGATTATGTGCGTGGATCAACTGTCCAACCGGGGAGAAAACTGTTGCTGGCAAATATGATTGACAAAAACAACAGCAGCGAAACAAAAAACTGTGAATGAATTTTGATTTTTTTTTTATAAATTTCAAACGTCAAACAAATTCGAGCAACATTAAAACAAAATTGAAATTACAAATTTACCAAGAAATTTTCTTTCGTTATCATTTCGCTCATATTTCACTCATTTCGCATATTACGTATTGATTGGATTTCCTGTTTTTTTAGTTTTGTTTTTGTTTGCCGGGCTGGATTCTATGTTCACCACCATTATTATCATCATAGGCCTCACGCAAAAAACCATGTTTCCTGTGTTTTTGGACATTTTATTTGTTTGTTTGTTTGTGATTCCAATGAATTCCGATAACAAATTTTTGTTGCGATTTAAAAGAACAGAAAAAAAATTTGAAAATCTTTGCTGTTTTTGATTTTAAATTTGTTTTTGGTTTGTTTAAAAACGAAATTCAAGAATCGATTTTTCGTTGCTGAAAAAATTTACATAAAGTTTTTTACACAAATTCAAAAATCAATGTCAAAATGTTGATAAGCTTGGATGATTATTATTATAAAAAATGATTTCGTTACTTTACTTTACTTTTCTGAGCAAAACTATTTCAAATTATCTCTCTCACTCTCTCTCTCCATTTAGTTTTGAATGTATTAATTTTGTTTCCAAACAAAAAAAAGTGAAAATTGATTTTTTGACACAGCATTAACACTTTCTTACACACCGAGCGAAATCATTTAGACATTTTGCATAGAGATTGCTGAAAAATCTGATCTAATAAAATGGATTCTTTTCTTTGGCAGGAATTTTTTGTGGTTGAAAAACCTAATCTTAATTAGAATTATTTCGTAATTGCTACACTTGTTTGATTTGGTCATTTTTGGATTCTCTCTTTTTTTTAGAAAATCCTGTTCTCTTTTTTGTGTTTTGTTTAACACTTTCTGTCTCTCTCTCTCTTTCACTCATTACATTTGATAGAAAACCAAAAAACGATTTCAATTTATAAATTTTTTCTGTGATTTTTGTATTAATGGTGGTGGTGGTGTGTGTGATATATGAATTGCGCTTTTGGTTTTTTTCTTGTTCGTTCGTTTCGTTTGTTTTAATCATGTTATGTTCCAAACCATGATCACCAAGGTTTTTCGATAGAAAAAAAGATAGAGATTTCAATCTTTTTGTTTCATATCTAAATTTATCCATTGCATTACACTTGTTGTTTGGTTGATTTTGTGCTTGAATTCAGTTTTATTTGTTTTTTCTCCTGATTTCGATCTAAATGTTAGTTTAGTGAATGTTTTACTGTTTTTTTTTTTGTTGTTGTTGTTAAACATTGATCATATGAATCGATATTTTAGATTTTTGAATTGATTTTTTTGGTCCACCTGATAAAAAATGAATGGTGGTCAATCAATGTTACCACCACCACCACCACCATCATTATCTGTATTTAATCTTAGTTTTGCATCATTAGCTCAACCACAAACATCATCATCATCAACAACATTGGATGCTACGAGTAAGTTTACTTGAAAAACATTATTGGTCAATAACAGCAATATTTAACACAGTAACACACCCGAATATTAAGTAAATATTAAATATTAGGGTGTTGTATAAGTGGTAAATGGCAATTAATTTGTCATAAAATATTCTTGAAAAATTTGTTCGGGTCAATTTACTGGACTACCACCCCAACTTTATTGCTTTAAACAACATTTGTTCATTTTGGTTTTGGCTATAGCCATATGCCAGATATTTTGGTAGAAAAAAAAATTTAGTTAAAGAGGATAGTCACCCCTCATCATCATCATCATTGACAATAATGTCGTGTGATGGTAATTTCGGTTTGATGATGGTGGTGGTAGTATGAAATAGTCATCAACAAATTATGAATCTCTGGTCAGATTTGGCTATACATTATTGTCGAAACATTTGAAATGATGATGATGAAATCAGTAGAGTCAAGTCGAAAACAAAAAAAAACAAGACCGGAAATTGGGTTTAGATTTTCATTTTTTTCATTTTCATATTGAAAATGTTGATGATGGTGATGCGTATGTTGTTGTTGTACGCATTAATGCGTAATGCGTGTCATCGTCATCGTCATCATCTTTGAGTTTTTTGTTGTAAAAAATATCATGTACTTATGTGTTGTTTGTGACCACTGAACCCTGGCCTGATGATGATGAGATCATTTTCTGTTGAATTCTGTGTTTCATGTTGAATTTTTTTGTTTTGTTTTGAAAATTTTAATTTTATTTTTTTGAAAAATCCAAAAAAGACACCTTGTTGTGATTCTTGCCGGTGTGTTTGTTTGTTTGTGTGAAATTTACTGAAAAACAATCACACACTTTACAATGGTAATTTTTCATTATTGCTACGTGCTTGTTTTAATTTCTCCAAATGTGAAAATTTTACTTTTGATTTCGTTAGATATTTTTTCTCCAACTAACCAACCAAAAATGTAATGCATGACAAAACACATTAGGCCATTTTTAGGGTTTTTTCTCATTAATGTGATGCTTGGTTGGTTGGATTGAAATTGGCTTGTGTATGTGTCATAAGGCCATAATTCAAGCGTGTTCACATAATTTACACTGACCTTGTTCTGATTTATTCTTGTCCACCAAGAAAAAAAAACTTTCATTCGTTTTTTCTACTTTGTTTCAAAATTTTCATTTTCAAATGTTTTTTTTCATTGACAATGAAAATTAAATCGTTCAACGAAGAAACGAGACGACAACATCACCCTATTTTTTTTAAATAATCATCCAGAAAAGAAAAACTTTGTCAAGGTCTTTTGGAGGTCGGTAGTTGCGGGGGGAAACACACCTGACCATGACGACATTACCCAACTTTACCTGCCCGATGATGATGATAATTCGTAAATGTCGTGTGTCCTTTTAATTTTTTTTCTGGTTTTTTAATGATTATGATGATGACAAAATCAAACAGGTGGCCAGCGTTTTTATTGTTGTGTGGATGTTTTTTTTGTGATTATTTTCAATTAAATCCAATGATGATCATCATTGGCCATCTGTGTTTTTCGATTCAAAAATTCAGTATATGATTTTGTTGGTTTTTTCACCGTTACAATTTGCGTAATATTGATTTTTACATTGATTAGACAATGTTTATACATGCTTTTTGCTATTTCTCTCTGTGTGTATGGATTATGTTTGACCCGAATTTTTTTTTTGTTTTCGTTTTTCTTTTGAATATTATGATCTGTGTGTGTGAATTATTTAGATTTCACTTGACTACGTTGTTTATGTAACAATTTTTTTTTCTGCATGTCGGATTTTGTCGTTTGATTTTTGTTTTGAGATTCACAATAATAATATTTGAGAATGTTATTATTGATTAATATTTAATGATTCAATCAATCAATCAATCAAACATAAACATAAACAAAATAATTTAGTTTCGGTTTTTGATTTAGATTATTTTTCATTATCATCATAATTTTCTATGGCATTTCTAATTAGCTGTTTTTTACTTTCTTGATCAATTGATTTGTTTTTCTGTTGTCAATTTTATAATTTTTTTTTGAAATTTTTCTCTATCTATAGATCTACCAATACAAGTGCCTCCATTAACGCCGGGTACTAATCAAAAAATGTCACAAGCATTAGCGGCAAGTTTTGCTAGCTGGGAAAAAGAACGTGATGAATTTAACATTCCAAAAGGTAAATTTGTGATTGATTGATTTNACATTACCCAACTTTACCTGCCCGATGATGATGATGATAATTCATGAATGTCGTGTGTCCTTTTAATTTTTTTTCTGGTTTTTTAATGATGATGATGACAAAATCAAACAGGTGGCCAGCGTTTTTATTGTTGTGTGGATGTTTTTTTGTTGTTGATTATTTTCAATTAAATCCAATGATGATGATCATTGGCCATCTGTGTTTTTCGATTCAAAAATTCAGTATAGGATTTTGTTGGTTTTTTCACCGTTATAATTTGCGTAATATTGATTTTTACATTGATTAGACAATGTTTATGTAGCTTTTTGCTATTTCTCTCTGTGTATGGATTATGTTTGACCCGAATTTTTTTTTTGTTTTCTTTTTTTCTTTTGAATATCATGATCTGTATATGTGTGTGTGTGAATTATTTAGATTTCGCTTGACTACGTTGTTTATGTAACAATTTTTTTATTTTCATGTCGGATTTCGTCGTTTGATTTTTTTTGTTTTGTTTTTTGTTTTGAGATTCGCATATTTGAGAATATGTTATTGATGTTTATTATTGATTAATATTTAATGATTCAATCAATCAATCAATCAAAAAAAGAAAATATAAACAAAATAATTATGGATTTAGTTTCGGTTTTTGATTTAGATTATTTTTCATTATCATCATCATTTTCTATAACATTTCTAATTAACTGTTGTCAATTTTATAAATTTTTTTGAAATTTTTCTCTATTTGCATCTATAGATCTACCAATACAAGTGCCTCCATTAACGCCGGGTACTAATCAAAAAATGTCACAAGCATTAGCGGCAAGTTTTGCTAGCTGGGAAAAAGAACGTGATGAATTTAACATTCCAAAAGGTAAATTTGTGATTGATTGATTTTTGTTGCATTGATGATAACATATTTTTTCCAATTTTTCCAATGAAAAATTATTTAGATCCACAATTATGGTCCGAATCGGATGTAAATCATTGGCTACAATGGGCAATTAAAGAATTTAATTTGGATGGTTTTGATTCACAAACATTTTTAATGACAGGAAAAATGATTTGTGAAATGGGTAAAGAAATGTTTTTAGCACAAACTCCTCCTTATGTTGGTGATATACTTTGGGAACATTTAGATCGTTTACTAAGAGGTATGATTCAATGATTTTTCAATTTTCAATTTTCAAATGAAATTTAATACCCAAAAAAATGCTAAAATTCAGCTCATCATTTCCGTTCAAATCACACTTGTTACATAAAAATACACATGCAGTATATATATGTTTAAGGCTCCACCTTTTTTTCCTAAAATATATGTTTTTTTTCCAGCATACAAAAAATATTGAAATTTTCAATATTCACACTTGATATTGCGCATCATCTTCATTACATTTTCATTATTATCAGCATCATCATCACTATTTTATCATCCATAAAAAACCCGCCTAAATCATTATATAAAAAAATTTCTATTTCTATATATGAAAATCGATATGCTGGTGTTGTGACTATAAAGAGGGTGGTCGGAAAAGTAAATTTATTATAAGAAGATCAAGAAAGAAAACAACATGCATGTATAGAGTGTATGTGATCTATAGATTTTTGGTTTTAGCCCACTGATTGACTTCTGTTTAGTGTTTGTGTGTTTCTTGTTTTATGCTATAGACAAAATATATTGGCTTCTGTTTTTTTTCTCTGTCTTTATTCTCTATTTGTTTATTTATACGAAAAAAATGACCAAATAATGAGAATTTCATTCATATTAACAAAGTTTCATCAAAGATAGTGATCACATCGATAATCTATCATGATCTAAACAACAATCAAACAGAAATTTTTACAGTAAAAACCAAACAAAAAATGGTTTATTAATTACATCCGGTTGTTGATATAGTTTTGTTTTTGTTTTGCTTCTTTGCTTTTAGCATTTGTTTTAATGTTACAGATAAATATTTATTTTTCATTTTCATTTTTCTTACTGTTAATTACTATTGTAGATTCTGATTCTGGATCATTATCATCATCATCATCATCATTAATTGATAATGTTTCAACAACAGCAACAAATTATATTGATTGTGGTACAGAATTTAATGATTATTTTCAACAACAAACGATAACAACATCATCAACATCAACATCAACAACATTAACAACAACAGACCCATCATCATCACCATCATCATCATCATCAACAACAACAAACATTGATCCAATTGGTCATCCAAATCATCTTCAACATTTATCAAATCATCATCAGCATCCAAATCATCATCAAACTGATGTTATTTATTCAACAACATTCAATGATCATCATCATCACCATCATCATCAACAACATCATCCACAATCATCCGAATCATCATCATCATCTACAACAACAACATTATCATCGACATCTAATCAACAACAACAGCAACAACAAAATACCGATATAATTTCATCGTGTCATGAGGATAAATCGATAAATGATAATAATATTAATATTAATAACAACAACAACAACGAAAATAACAACAACAACAAATCAATAATGATGATGAATGTGCCTATGACAATGCCTGATATTATATCATCATCAACAACACCGACATCAATAACTTCTATATCAAATTTTTTAGATGGTATGTTTCAAATCAGTTTCTTTCAATGTGAAAGAATCATACTTACTTTTCATTAATTTTTGTTAATTTCAATCAATTTAATTAGACATGTTTTTTTCTAAATCACACATGTCATGATAATAGATTTTCATATCTCTCTTTCTCTCTCTTATTGCCTTCATTCAAATAACACTTGATTAGTGTAATTTGAATTGATTGAGATTGATTTTCTATCTTGTATGTATATTCAAGCGCTTGTTTTTGATACTATGATATACTGTGTGTATGAATTTCAAACTTAGATCGCGTGTCTCTAATCAATTCCAATTAGTAGCGTTTGGATGAATGATGATGATGATTATCATTGCCATGTTAGTTATATAACAAATTAATCACAATTTAAAAGCAAAACTGAGAAGAAGAAAAAAAATATGATTCAATTAATTAATAGATATTAATCAATTGATATTTTTTTCGATTTAATTAATATTGCCGATTGAATGATTGTCGATTATGATTTTGATTATCCAAAAATCAAAATATTGGGGAAAAAATCATTTGACAAAAATCTTGTTCTGATCGTTATGATGATTATTCATTTGTATTAATTGTTTTTTTTAAATTCATATTTTTTCACTTTAACACATGACCGTATTGAATACTGGTTGTTTTAGTTTTATTTTTTAAAACTAAATATAGTTTTCAAACAAAGCAAACAAAAATGTTTTCAAAAGGCGATGGCGACAAGCTATAGAATATATTCAAAGATCAAGCCAAAAAAAATAACATTAACAACGTACAAACCAAATCAAATCAAACCCAACCAATCAAACAAAAATTTTTTTGTTGTTGTCCATATACAACAACATTCGAATACGAAAATGGCTAATATAGAAATTCATAGCAATTTCTCATTGCTCTATGGCAGTGCTTTGTGTCCAAAAGTGGAACAATAAACGGATGTTTGTTGATAATAAGATTTTTTTTTCTCGTTTCGTTTCGTTTTTGCATGACAAACATAGATCATTATACCAACAAATTTAGCATCCATGGTAGTTGATTTTCGGTTGTTGTTGTTGCTATTTTACAAGATGTTTTAAGAGGGGGATAGAAAAAAAATAAAATAACTTGTACGCGCCTAAATATGTTTTGATGTTATTTGTCATCGTTGTTGTCGTCGTAGTTGTAGTCATGTGTATACATTGTTCCTATGGCGAATTTATTTGAAATTTATTTTTTCGTCTACTAAATATGTTATACCGATTTGTTTTTTGAATGAGTTTTATCATCATCATAATAATAATGATTGTAATTTAAAAATGTCCGACCTTCGCGCCTTGTGTCAACAAATTATCCGTAAGAGTAGAATAGAACAAAACAAAACAAGCATTTTTGAATATCGGGTTGGTTACATGGACACCATCACCATTATCATTGTTTGATGATGATGATGATGAAAATGATTTTTTCTTTAAAAAAAATACTAATCTAATGGAGTGTTAAATGATTGTTTGTGTAACAAACAAGAAATAGAGAGATTTTGAAGAAAAAAAAATTGATGAGGCTCATTTGTATGGACACTATTTTTTTTTATTTGAAAAAATATGCAAATTTTTAACGATTTTTTTCTATTATTTTTTTAATCGTGAAAAAAAACAAATCAGGTTCTTATCAATCGATTGCTGATTCAATGAATGAATTATCACCTACTGGCAATAATAATATTATTAATAATCATCATACAGATAAAATGTTAACTATGAATAATCGTCATCAATCGAATAATAATAATAATCATCATAATCATCATCAACATCATCATCATCAATCGTTTGAAATTGATAATCCTGAAACTTATCATCATCATCAACAACAACAACAACCACATTTGCCTACCTCGACAAATGGCCATCAACATCATCATCATCATCATCATAATTATTTGGATGCTCATTCTGAATTTTATTTAGCTCATTCAATGATGATTGATAGTAAATTTTCACAACAATATCAACAAAAATTTAATAGAGGATCACAAAATTATTTTGGTAATTACCATTTTCTTCATTATTTTTCACATTTAATTTATTCTGAAAATTATTCTATATTTTAATAAGGTCGATATACCGGAAATGAACTGCCCAGTATGATCGATAATTATGGACAATATGATAATCATTCATTTACAACAATGACAACACCATCATCGATACCGCATACACCATCACCTGAACAATGGCCACAAAATGATTTAGCAAATTTAAATAATCAAATTGGTACAACATTAATGTCAAATACGGTGATACCTTCATCAAATAATCTAAATAATACAATAATTTCAAATCATATGAATGCCAATTATGAATCACCACCACCACCATCAATTCATGGTCGTGATCAAATCAATTTAAATCAAATGACAAACAATAATAATATTCTACATTCTACAAATGGTATTCATCAAGGAGCCAATCTTTTTCATCAATCTACGACGATCGACGGAAAACCATTTATTCAAGCAGCAGTCTTAGCAGGTATGAATTTTTTTCTTTCTAAAGGTAATGATTATTCATTATGATTATTTGCATAATAATTTAATTAAATAGGTAGTGGACCCATTCAATTGTGGCAATTTTTGCTTGAATTATTGACTGATAAAGATTGTCAAAGTTTTATCTCTTGGACTGGTGATGGATGGGAATTTAAATTGACCGATCCGGATGAAGTGGCTCGACGGTGGGGTATCAGGTAATTGCTATTGAAATAATATACATTTTAATGTCATTTTTTTATATTAATTTTAATTTTTTAAAAATTGAATTTATAGAAAAAATAAGCCAAAAATGAATTATGAAAAATTAAGTCGTGGCTTACGTTATTATTATGATAAAAATATCATTCACAAAACGGCTGGTAAACGTTATGTTTATCGTTTTGTTTGTGACTTACAAAGTCTTTTAGGATGTAAACCCGAAGATTTACATGCTGTTGTCGATCTCAAGTCCGAAAAGAAAGAAGAAGATTGATTTTAAAAAAATGAATTTGATCAATGTTCAAAATTAATGCGCCATATTTCACTGGTCATTATCAAAAATATGTTCGTTCGTTTTTTTCCTGTTTATTTAGAAGAAATCAATACTGGTATAAAGAGATTATTTGGTTTGGTATACACCTAGTCGTCTTTTTTCCTTCAACGTTTGATGGAATCACATCTATTAAATAAACAACAATCTTGTGTGCTTGTGTATACACGTGGATTACACAAGTTCAATTTTCGCATTTTTTTCGCATCATTTTTTGCCTTCTCATCTATGGCCTTAATTTCATGTTTTTTTTGAAATTTCTTGTTCTTGATTATAATTAACTTGAAAAACAATAATGTATTTATTATAATTTGATTTTTTTTTAATTTTGACCAACAATGATGATCATCATCTTGTAGTATATTCTATGTTAAATTTTCTTTAATTCTTAAATTTATTATTCCAAAATAAATGATTAAATTATTAAATTTATAATGATGATTAATTTGATTGATTTTCTTTTGTTGATTCGTTTGAAATCACATCTTTAACAAATGAATTGATTTTATCTAATTGCTCATTATTCAAAATCATATCAGCATATTGTATGTAAGATTGAAATTTATTTCGAAGTTTCGCTATCAATTCCATTTTTCTGTTTTCATCATTGACTTTTTTACATAAATCAATTAATTCTGGTGCTGTATGAATAGTTGATAATTCATCATCATCATCAACATCATTACAATTTTGTTGATATAATTTCAATTTATAGTTACGAGAATCATTATCAAAACGACCAAACAATACTTTATCTCGTGGAATCATTTTTGCTAGAATATTATAATGAGTTGAAATAATAAGAAATGGCTGTTGATCATTATTAATCCAATAATTGATAAAACTTTTCAGCAATGCTAGACCATCAATATAAAGTGTACCTTTACCAAAACAATCGATAATAACCAATGAACGACGTTTAACAAATCTGGTTGCAGCAATCATTTGATTCAAATCAAGTTTAAATGATGATAATTGTGTCGAAATTGATTCAGGTGTACGAATTCTTGTAAAAATTTTATCCATTATTTGAATTTCAGCCAATTTAGCCGGAACAAATGAGCCGATTTGAGCCAGAAAGATGATCAAACAAATTTGTTTCAAATAAACAGTTTTACCACTGCCATTTTGACCAAAAATAATCATTGTTTTCGATGATTTTGTACTATCACAATAATAATCATTAGTCATAAACGATCGTGTTATCAATTCATAAAGTGGATGTCGACCTTCAATAATATTGATCGTATCTTTACAATTAAATTTTGGTCTGATGAAATTCATATCGATTGCTGCTTGACTTATAGCTATCATTGCATCAAGAAATGCACAATAACTATTGGCTATCAATAATATATCGATACGTTCAACAATAAATTCTTTAATTTTTATAAGATTTTGCAAAGTCATATCATTAATTTCACCGTGAATATCACCAAATAATGAATCATATTCATCGGTGTTTGAATTTTTATAATAAGCAGCCGTTGCAGCACAAAACAAAAATCTTAATTGATATTTATCAATATCGGCAATTTTTTGTACTTCAATCAACGGAAGCTGTAATAGAAATCCCAATTGTGGAACATATAAAAGTGTAATGCTGATATTATATGTTTGAATCATTTCTTTAATTAATGTTGCCTGATCCATAGAATTACCAAGAATTTCAGGTAATTTATTGAAATAGAATTTTTTCTTATCCAATTCATCATCGACACCAGTTTTGATTGAAACTTTTCCACCATCATCTTTTGATTTATCAAAATCAATTGTATTTTCAATACATTCAAGAATTTCATTCAAAATGATTATAAAATGATCAGTTATTTTATCAAAAAATTTAAGATTTTTATCTGAATTTGATAAACGATTTGTGATAAGATTCTTTATCGATATAATACTGAAAAGATTTTGTTGTAATGTACGAAAATCGGAAATCTGAAAATTTGATCCACGAAAACGATTGATTATCGGTGAAATGTGTTTGATATTTTTAAGAAAATCATACAGTGATGTTTTAAAATAAGAATTCTCTGGACAGACAAAAAATTCAACAATATCCAATCGTTCTTCTAAAATATCGATATCAGTACAAGGTTGTAGAAAAATTTTACGCAAATAATTTGAACCAATTTTACTTGCACATGTATTGAATACACCGTACAATGAGAAGCTTTCTTTTTTTGTAAATCCTTTTTTCGATAATGAAGGATGCCATTCATCTTTAAATATATCCAATGCATCATATGTTGTTTGATCGATTGATAAAAAATGATCGAGAAAAAAATAAATCAAATCCGATATACAATTGACATTCGAATTGGCTAATGGCATTAATTGTTTTTCAATAAAAAATAACAATACACCAAGTGAACGAATAGTGTTCGGTTCGGAAAAATCAATTTGTGCTGTAAGATAAATATATCGTACTGTTTTATCACTTTGATGTGATATTGGCTGAAAATTAAACAATAATATTCTTGATTTACATTGTTCATAATTGTACAATTTTGATGGAACAATATGTAGTTTGAATTGATTATTAAGTAAATTTAATGTTGTATCACCTTCTAATGTGAATGAAAAAGAGTTTTCTTCATCATCATTATTGTTAACGATTGAATTTGTTGTATCAACATCTTCATTATGTTGTATAGAATTTTCTTCATCTTTAGATTCATTTAAATCATCTTTCATTATTGTCACTATTTGTTCACAAAAATTTGATGATAATTTTCTCAAAAACCAATATAATTTCGAATCACAATTTGTGCCGATAAAAACATTATCTGGTTGAAATTTTGCCAACACATTACGTGTGACAATAAAATCTTCAAATTCATACATTTCATGAAATAATTCAATCTTTGTCGAACCAATACGATAAAAAGCAAAAGCTATTTTACGATTTTGATAGCTAATGAATAGAACCGATTCTATTGGATCCAAACTGATATTATCGTGTGTTGTATCCAATGGTTCAAGTATTTCATGTTCATTATTTTCATCTTGCTGATTATCATTATTATTATTTTCATAATCATCTTCATTTACAAAATAAGTATTATCAGACATGATTGAAAATCAACAAACTTTTCATTTCAATTTACACAATAACCGAGTCAAATTCGAACATCAAAATAACCACACAAATTGAGGAAACATTCGAATTTGTCCTTAACAAAAAGTACGTTACACAACAAGATTTGTTTTCAAAAAAAATAATTTTTATTTTAAAAAAATATCAAAATAATTTTATTTAAATTAAATTTAAATTTATAAAATTCCTATCACACACAAACATTAGTCAATAATGATTCGATATTTGTCAAAATTTTTGTCCATCAAAATCAAATTTAGTCATCTTTTTTTTCTTGATTCGATGATTCGGAATCGATCAAATTTCTTGGAAATCAATTGAAAATAAAAATGAAATAAATTAAAAAATTTTGAAAAAAAATCACCAAAACAAAAAACATACTCTAATCGATTTTGTTCCATATAAGTTTTACGTTGTTCTGATGACATGTTAAGCATTCCATTTGTTTTACGTTTATCATCCATATATAATAAAATAACAATGAAAAGACATACTAAATGAAATGAAAAAAAAATTATAATTTATAAGGTAAAAATCCATGACCAATACAATACTTACAACATAACCATGATAGAAAGAAAAGTTCCAAACTAATATAACCTCTTGAATCGACAATATAACCGGCAGCAAGTACAACACAACCAAGACCAAGATTTTGTACCGATTGCATAATACCATATGCAGTACCAAGTTGTCTTTGCGGTATAACCAATGCAATCATTGGCCATAATGCACATGCTAATACTGAATAACCAATACCCATTATTATCATTGCAATTAATGGATGAATAAATGTAAAGGCTAACATTCCATGTGCTAATAATGTAATCAATGTTGCTGATAATACCCAGAATAAATTTCTTCCACTCCAATCGACCATTATTCCAAGTATTGGTGATGCAACTGTTGATATTGTATAAATAAGTGCATCATAAAAATTTGCTTCTTTTTGGCCAATTTCAAATTTTCTTTGAAAAAATAAACTATGAATCATAAATGAATGATGATTAGTTGAACGTGAATGTCAATAAATTTTTTTTTCTAAAATTTTACCTTCCAAGTGCTGTGAATGGAAAAATTGTAACATAATATGAAACACAAATAAATGCTATCAACCAAAATGATAATGGAAATGTTTTAGCATCGGTTATATTAACTTTTTCATCGGCAATAGCATCTTTTTCCAAAATTCTACTTGCTCTTTTATCAAAATAAGCAAGAATAAGTGCACATATTAATGAAAAAAGACATGTTGTGGATGCAATCAATAATGCTAAACCAAGACATTTATATCCTTGAAAATGTTCATTAACAAATTCATAAATGGAAACCATTGTAACAAAATTGGCTGAACTACCAGCCCGAGCAATACTTAATTGTAAACCAAAAACCATATTTAATTCTTTATCTTTAAACCAACTGACAGCATAAGTATTTTGTGCCACTGCTAATGATTCGCCTCCAATACCAAATCTTTTGGTTTTGTTTTAACAATTAAATGTGTTGATTAGTTGACAAGCAACAACAAACAATAGATGTATGTTTTACTTACATAAAACGACCAAAATTCATTAACCAAAAATGATTAGTTAAAGCACCAGCAGCAAAAGTTAATTGTCCCAGAAAAATAATCGCCGCAAATATAATCGCTCCAAGACGTATACCAAAAACACGATCAATAAGAAAACCACCAAAAAAACATAATATAGTTTGTGGCCATGAATACCATGAATATAATTGTGAAAATGAACTAACATCGATTTTCATATCAGTAATGATTTGTTGTTGTAATGCTCCAGGATTATCATAACAATAATAACTTCCTATAAACAAAAAAACAAACGATTCAATATTAGTGTTTTTATATTTGTTTGTAAAATTATAATTTCAATTTTTTCAAATTACCGAAACCCAAAAAACACATAAATATCAATACAAAATATCTATGCGTTCGTTTGGATGGATGGCAAATATTTCCAAAACATGATCCATTTTGTTCATTATCATTCTGTTCATTTTGTTGGCCAAATTCGACCAGATTTTCTTGTGTTTCAGATCTTGGAAATTCCATTATTAATCATCAAAACAAAGAATAACTAAGTTAAAGAAAGCAAAAAATTTTTATAAAAACACTAAAATGAAAATGATGATGATGATGGCATATCATCAAACGAAAAAACGACACCCAACTTGAGATCTTTTATCTCAGATTTATCAATAACGAAAAAAAATTTGTCATAATTATAAGTGGATTGTCAATCGATAATTGGAGAAATCCAGAAATCATTAAACTCCCATCATCGAATACATTCCATTAATGTTTTTATTATCATCAAAAGAAATTGAAGGAACCATTCAAAAAGGACGATTCATGTTTTTGAATAATTTTTTTTTTAATTTTAAATTTTATAAATAAAATTTTTTTTTGAAATAAGCAAGATTTTTTTTACTATTACATATAATCACCAATCAACTATTTTTTCTTTTCTTTTGTTTTGTTTTGTTTGTGAAAAAAAAGCCTTAAAATGATGTGTGTGTGTGTAATGAATGGATTGAAATGAATCCATTTCAAATATACAAAGTGTTAATGTTATCATTTTGTTTTTGCTCGAATATTTTTTTTTAATATAAAATAATTTGAAATGGGTAAAATATTTGATATAAATTATCATCCGGTTTTTGAATTGATCACTTGGTATTTTGTTTGTTTTCTGATTGCTATAGATGAAAAATGATCTATTTGATGTTATTACGGGTAATGATGATGCCTGAATCGATTGGATTTGTTCTTCTTTCGTGGTTTTTTAATCGGTTGGAACATTGTTTGATGATGTTGGAAAAACTGGCGATGGAATTGCCGTATTGATCAATGGAACAGTTGATGATGATGATAATGGATTGCTACTGGTTTTTTGTTTGTTTGTTTGTTGATCAATGATTCAACACAAGGGATGTGAGAAAAAGAAAAAAAAAGATTGAAGAGAAAAATAATTAGATTAGTTGAAAATGAAAATTTTGAAGAAAAGAAAAAAAAAATTTCCCGCCGTTTAATTTAACTCAGTTTTTTGATGGTTGTTTTTTGAATGGAAAGATTTTGTTTTTCGCCAAGTAAAAATTGGCATGATTGAAAACGAAAAAAGCAAATATTGAACAATAATAATACATATTCGACATGTAAATTTACAAATTTTTTTTTAAATTTCAATTTCAAACACAGATAGATTGTTGTTGTTTTTGTTTTTGTGTGTGTAGGGGTGTCAAAATGTTGAATTTGAAACAAAAAAAAATATTTAAGACGGCAAATCGAGAATTTATCATCAAGAATTATCAAAATCATCATACAAATCATACAAAACACATTTTTTTTTGATCGCTCACTTTATATAAACTTTTCCAGTATCTTCTTTGCCTGTATAACGTGTTTTGCCACGAGTCCAAGGCAAATAACGATATTTAATCATATGCTATGAATGAAAGTTATAAAAAACAAAATTATAATTAATTAATTAACAAAAATAACAACATAATAATTGGTTTCATACTCTGATTTGTCGTTTCATTGTTATACAAAACAATATGATAAAATATAGCAACAAAATAGGCCAAAAAACTGGTATGTTGCAAAATTCAAAGAATGTACAGATTAATGAAATTAATGTAGCTATTGTCGATGAATACCTGAATATTAAAAGAAATTGTTAATTTAATCAAATTAAATTTACCAAAAAGAAAATTTACCAAAATTTAAATTCAGGTAAACGACGTATAAATGGACGAAATTCTTCATTAGCCGATGTTGGTAATGATGGTCCTTCGTCTAATTATCAAAGAAGAAATTAAAGTTTTGATAAAGAACATATATTTTTTGTTTTCGGAATAAAAAATTACCTTCAAAATCATAAACAGCCGGATCAATTTTTGGAGTAAGAAACGCTATTAACATATTAAGATAATATATGCCCAATGCATATGTGATAATATAGAATCCCTTGTTTTGTTTCAGGAAAAAAACAGAATTTTAATCAAATGTTTTTAACCAAAAATCAAATCACATCAAAACATACTTGATAAATAATCACACGACACATAAAAATTAACAATAAAACTGTTGTAAAAATCTGTAAATATTTTGGAAAATACAAAATTCTGATCAGAAAAATAACAACAATTTTACAATCCATTTAACTTACCCATCGATATGCAATATGAGGTGTAGAATAATCAAGTAAACCTTGATATTTCTGTGAAAACATTACATAAACAGGAATCAATCGATTAAAAATATGAAAAGATTAGACAGAGAAAAAAAAGCATACCCGACTCAATGTGATGAAAAATTTGGATGTTGAACTAGAACTAGATGATGATGATGGTGATAATAATGGATCGTCAAAATCATTCATGATTTTTGTTTTTCTTCTATATTTGTTATTATTAAATACAAAACACAAACAAACAAACAAACAAAATGAATTTTTTGTTATATGTTGTTCACAATGAATGTTGTTATAATTAAATTATAAAAAAAAATTGGTTGGTTTCAAACATTTAAAAAAATATTGGTTCGAATTCAGAAGCTCAAACCAGAAAAGAAACCAGAAAAAATCAATAAAATTCTGCCCTGCAAATGATTTTTATCAAAAAAAAAGAAAAAGAAAAAAGAAAATTCTCTCTTAACACACGTAACGTTGATTATTATTATTATTACTATCGACGCGTATACCGGACTGCTTGAATGAAAATACAATAAACAACTATTTCATCATTATGGTAAAAATAGTGGAAATTTTTTTTTCAAAAAAAATTTTATTTTTACTTTAATTTTGTTTCGCCAAACTTTTTTGTTTTTTTACAAATTTGTAATATTCACTGACTTGAATTATATGGATTTTGAATGATCAAAAAAATTGTGTTCATTAATTTTTTGTTTTATAATAATGTTTGTGTGTCTATATAATTGGAAATCGTTCATTCATGTGTGTTTAGTGTGAGATTAAAATGTTTGTTATGATTAGAATAATGGCCCTAAATATACTGAATAAAATAATTTTTGTTTAATATAATAATCATCATCATTTGGATTATCAATGATGATTATATTTTCCATTTCCATTGGCCGTATAATTATTATCATTACCACCGTTCAATGATGATTTTACCGATTTTAAATTGAGCTGTTTTGGACATTCCCATGGAAATTCTGGTCGACCAAAATGTCCATAACAAGATGTTTCCTCATAAATTGGTCTATTCAATTTAAGATCTCTATATAATGTGATAATAATAATAATTAGTCATTGATTTGTAATGGGTGTGTATGTAATTTACCTGATAATAACGCCAGGACGAAGATCAAAATTTTCATTAACAACTTGTACCAATTGTTTTTGTGTCAAACGTGATGTACCGAATGAAAATACTGTTATTGACAATGGTTGAGCAATACCAATTGCATATGATACTTGTACCAAACATCTTCGACAAAGACCTGCATTTACTAATGATTTAGCTACCCAACGTGCAGCATAAGCAGCCGATCGATCAACTTTGGTTGGATCTTTACCGGAAAAAGCTCCACCACCATGTCCACCCCAACCACCATATGTATCGACAATAATTTTACGACCAGTAAGACCAGCATCCGAAGCAGGACCACCAATAATAAAATTACCACATGGATTAATATGATAAATAGTTTCATTGTCCAAATAATTTGAAGGAATTACTTCTTTGATTACTTTTTCCAAAATTTCTTTACGAAGTTCGGTCAATGTAATTGATTCAGAATGTTGAATCGAAACAACAACAGTATGAACACGTACAGGTACAGCTGATCCATTATGAAAACGATATTCACAAGTAATTTGTGTTTTACTATCAGCCCGAGCCCATGGAAAAACACCATTACGTCGAAGTTCGGCAATTTTTTTATTCAAATTATGTGACAATACTACTGTTAATGGCATAAATTCTTCTGTTTCATCGGTAGCATAGCCAAACATAAGTCCTTGATCGCCAGCACCTAATTCTTCTTCACAACGATTTACATGAACACCAGAAGCAATTTCAGGACTTTGATTTTCCAATGCAATTTCAATCTTACAATTACGATAATCAAAACCTGCAAACAAAACAAGCGATTAGAAAAAAAAAGAACAAATTCAATATCAAATCAAATAATAACCTTTATCAATTGAATCATAACCAATACGTTTGACAGTATTACGAACAACATCTTCAATGTTAACATTTGCTGATGATGTTATTTCACCGAATACAAATATTAAATTTGATTTGGTTGCAACTTCGGCTGCAACTTTTGCATTTGGATCAACAGTTAAATATGCATCCAAAATTGCATCACTTATCTGATCACACATTTTATCTAGAAAATTCAAAAAAAGAAAAAATTTCAAATTGAATCGAATCGAAAAAAAATACATTACCTGGATGTCCTTCGCCAACCGATTCTGATGCAAATAAAAATGATTCTTCATGTTGATCATGAGGATGATGACTATCACCATTACCAAGAATTTGGTTTGGAGATATATCACCATTCAAATAGATTGAATCTTCTTGCATGCTCGACATTTTTGTATAATCAATGTTTTTTTGGTTGCACAAAATTTAGAAAAAAAAATCAAATTGAAATTGGAATGAATTTTTTTTTCAGTAAAAAAATACTCGTATACAACGAACGTTGTTCAAACAAAAATCGAATTGAAGTGAAATTGTCAAGTTTTGGATTCGATTTATAAATATTAAAAAAAGTTTCTTTCGCGAATTTTGTTTTGTTGATGTTTATTAATTTAAAATTTTTCCAAAACAAAAAAAAAATCCAATAACCATTGGATAAATCAAAACGAAAAAGTGAAACAAAAAAAAAACACCCAGCCAAAATACCAAATGAATGAAGCACGTGCTCAAACCAAGAAAAAAAAAATAATATACAGACTAAACTTGTATTGGAATGAATGAGCTCAATGCAAAACAAACAAACGATGTGTTTTAGGTTTTGTTGTATATATAGGTGTGTTATATGTTTGAATGCAATATGTGTGTGTGTTTAGTAAATAAAAAAAAACGAAAAAGATTTTCCTTTTCTGCTTCTTCTTGTTGTTGTAGAATAATAATGGATGTTGAATGACGACAGACAAACAAACAAGCATTAATTGATTTTCGTTAAAATGTAAATGCCGTGGAATTCATGCACAATGAATTGTTAAAACAAAAAAATCTTACACGATAAACATTTAAAAAGAACTTTCGAATTCAGCAAACAAAACAAACGAGAAAAAAAATAAGAATGTTATGTTCAGTGATGTATGAATGATAAAAAAGAAAGAAAGAAAGAATATCTCTCTTTGATATACCAGCTGATAATGATGATGACGATAGAAATATGATTAAATATCTATTTCGCAGTATTTCACTGATTTCGCTATATATATAAAAACTGATATTGAACCAAAATTTTGTTTTGTTTTTACACAGCATAGATTCTATATATCGAAAAAATAGATGATGATGATGTTCAATGATGATGATGATACCTATCTAACTAAAAATCTATCCACAAATTGGTGTTTATTCAATGATGAAATGAAGAAAATCAAAATCGAAAAAAATCAATTTTGTTATTTATTTTTCGGTAAAAGGAACAGGGGAAAAAAACATTATTCTTTTTTTAGATAAAATCTTTACAAAAAATCATTCGATTTATTATGACTTTTTTTTTGGATCAAAAGATGGCACTTGAGATTTTTCGCACTACAAACGCTGAGTATGCGTAAAACATTAAATATTTCGAATGTTATGTGTAGCGGCGTCGGCGGCTTCCTTTCCCCATTATAATATTTTTGGTTGATGTGTTTTTTACTTTACTTTACTTTCACTCGAAAACTCTGCTGCAGCAAAAAAATGATGAAATGAATTTTACAATTGCCCAATATATATCCAAAAAAAATTGTCCTATCTTCTATGAACAGGACAGTGTTTTTTTTTCCTCATTTTCTGCGAGCCATGATTTTGTGTGTTTTTAGTCTCTATATTTTTGGCTGTGTGTGATTTTGGTTTCGTTTTTGTTTTTTGTTTTTTTATTTTTAAAGTCGATCTTTTTTTTCATCCAAATCCCTAAATATCAATACAAAAGAATCAATTTTTTGTTTCAATTCAAAAGAATCAATTTCAGTGAAAAAAACATCCATTTGATGATTTGAGTGTGTGTGAGTTTGAGAGTGGCAATAAAAAAAATAACCAAACGAAAAAAATCGAACCCAAAAAATTTTGTTCGAATTCGAATTTTTTTTCTTCTTCTAAATATTTCATCATCATATCGTGTTTTTTTTGGTTTTTGATGATGTGATTTTTTTTTGTTTTCCATGATTGTTTTGATTGACTAAATGATTATATAATGTTGTTATAATTAAACAGCTGCCCAATTAAATTGTATCAGATTAAAACATGTCGTTTTTCTATTAATTTGTCTTATATTTGCTATATATATTCGATCCTTAAATCAGAAATCAAATTTTTCTTTTGGGTTTTTTTTCGTTGTTGTTGTTGTTGTTGAAACAAAAACAATAGTGCATTCAACATTGATATTCAGCATTTTTTGTTTGTTTAGTTTGTGTGCAGTTTGTTTTGAAACTCTTTTGAACGCTATGAACAATTCGTATACAAAAAAAAACGATACAAATTTTCAAATCATCAATATAGCTTACACGGTGTAAATATTATTTAATTTCAACATAACATAATAATAACAACGAAAAAAAAAGAAATTCGTTTTAAGGTAAAATTTAATTAAGTTTTTTTTTCTCTTTTCGTCGTCGATTTGAATCGATTGGATAGATTTTTAGATTTTTTGTTTTTGTTTGACAAAAACAATACTCTAAAAGCTAATTTAGACAATATTTTCTATCGAAAATTCATTCAGTTTTTTTTGTTTTGTTTTTTTTCCTTGTTAGACAAATTCAGTCATTATAATAATGGATTAACCTTGTGTAGTAATATTTCTAGTCTAAAAAACATTTGTTAGTTGACAATTAGCTTGTATAGCAGTGAAAGTGTAATTAAACCAATTTTCTTAATTTTTTGTATTTTTTTTTGTTGTTAAAATTGTAGATTCATAAATAATAATATCATCAGTATAAAATGATGAATATCATGAAAATTATTTGATTGAAAATCGTTATTCATCTTTTGAATATTTCATCTATAAATATACCAAGTAAGTTTATTCAACAATTGATTATTTTCAATCAAATTTATCAATGATTGATGGTCGAAATTATGGAATCTATATGTTCAATGTCTTGTATCAATTATTATTGTCCCAAAAAATACTGTAGCAGGCAAAAGAAAAAGTGTTAGTGAGATTTTAATGATAATTGCTAATAGTATCTATCTGCTAAATTTGAAATCAAATTATAATAACTATAGCAAACGTTTTGAGATTTTATTTTCTGCTGATTCATATTTGATCATTTGGTTGTAACTCTTGTATGCATTGTATGTGTATATGCTGTTTGTATTGCTGATGTCTGTTTTTATGTGCTCACATTGGCTTTTATCCCAATAATAATAATCATCTATCTTTATCCATTTATATATTAGTTGGGTGAACTATGTTTGGGCGAAAAAAAATAGATCAAAGTGTGTGGATATAGGAAAAAATTGAATTGCGAAGAAAAATCAAGTTTTTATTTGTTCACAAAATTTGGAATTAATATTCCTTTATCATTGAAGAGATTGGAATGTGTTTTGGGTCCAATGTTTTTTCTTTTCAATGAAAAAATGAATTGATCTTTTTTGGTTGATGATTACCGGAAAAAAAATTGTAACGACACGTTGCATTCATTCACACAAAATATATGTCGGTGTGAATGTTGTGTTGATGGCTGAAAAAAATTTAAAGGTTTCCCTCTTTTCCTCCCACTCTCTTTGCAATTGATTCATTAAATGGTTTGTTCTAGATTAAATAATAATATCATCATACAGCATTTGTTGCATATATTTAGCTAGGTATATATGGTATGATGATGATATATACCAAAGAGTTTTTTTTTACCATCATCATCATACTCTAAATACTTGTAGGAAAAAAAACATTATCATAAATGATGATATTTGATGATCATCAAGTCAAAAATGTGCTTTTAGTTAAAACTACATACATACACAAAGAGATTCCTATTAGCTATTGGAAAAAAAAAAAATTTTTTTCTCATTACAAATATTTTTAAACAGCGCAAACTCAATTCGAATGTGAATATGAATGAAATGAGAATTATACTCGAATGATGATGGTGGTGATCCACGCCGATTATTTTTTTTTTATTAGCCGACGACAACACTACAATCTTTGTGCAATTGATGATAATGGTGTAGCACACCGTCATCAACATCGTCTTCTTCGTCGTCGTAGACATCGATATTTTTTTTTTGGGATTTTTGTTCTTTTCTTAATCATCAAATGTGTGTGTGTGTGAGCAACAGTATTTGAATTCGATAAATATGACGAAAGAGAAAGAAAAAGATTAATAAACCAGCAACAGTTATTGAAATAATTTCTCTTTTTTTATTTGTTTCTTCTATATTCAAATGATCTGAATTGTTTTTGTTTCATTGATTTTGTGTTTGTTTGCTTTTCTTATTTTTTTAAATGAAACTTTATTTTCAATGATAAATTAGTGTATGATTGTTTTTTAAAAAAATTATCATCATTATAATAGTGGTATGAGATAATTTTTTTTTTTTTGACGACGACGAACCATTTAAGTAATATGATGTGTTTGTTGTAATGAAAAATTTGAACAATTTTCCTTCAAATTGATTCGTTTTTGGTTTTTTCCTTCTGTGTAAAGAATTCATTGTTTTTTTTTTTTTGGTTTTTAATTTGTGGTATTCATTTTTTTTGATTTTCAAAAGGATTTCAACAAGAAAAATAAAATCGAACGAAATAAAAAATCATGGAATTTTTCGATTCCACTGGTATAAGTAATGAAGAAGCTCAGGCTTTAGATGTTATCAAACATGAATCATCGGGTGTTGAGGTTAGTTTAATATTTTTGTTCTACAAATAATTATTTTAATGTAAATTTTTTTTTCTTTTTAGTTTCTTTTAAATTACAATGTAAATCATCATCTACAATCCAACAATAATAATTGTTATCTAAATAGTCCAAATGAACATTCAAAATTATCGAATACATCATCATCATCATCATCATATCTTTTGAATGGTGATATACGATCATCACCTAACACACATACAATACAGCCACCTACATTATCATCAAGCCAAAATTCTTTATTATCAACAACATCAACAACTACATCAAACCAAACTAATCATTATCAACATCATCATCATCAGAATAATCATTCATTTGAAAATTCTCATCATCCAAATCACCATCATCATAATAATAATAATAACCATTATCATCATCAACAACCCCGTTTTATTAATCATCACCATCATCATCATCATCATCAGCAACAACAACATCATCCAAATCATAATGAATGGGAAACAACAACGCCAACAAGAACAGCAGTCACAACATCAGCCTCAAATCATCATGAACAACAACAACAATCTTCACCACCAAATTCAAATGTTTTGGTTGCAAATTTAGCCCAATCAGCTGGTGCTGGACATCCACCACATCCATATATATTTGGTGCAGCCTATTATCCACATCCACCTCCACCACCACCAAATCATCCATATGCAATTCATGCTTTACCTATCGGTGCATCACAACCACCACCACCAGTCCATCCAAATGCAACGGCCGGTTCAGTCAATCAACATCAACGAATGCAAAATATTGCTATGCATTCATCATCGAATAATAAAAATTCAAAGAATCCATCTAATGTCAATAATTCACCTATCTGTGATATTCGTAACTCTTCAAACATATATATGTCGTCTCAGTATTCTGACGTAAGTCATTATGTCTTATTCCATTATGTTCCAATAAATATAATCTTTATCTATTTTTTAGGCAACTCGGCAAATGATTGATGTTGCACAACATCAACGTCTTAAGAATGCATCGGTCTCAGGTGATCATCAAAGTGGAGGCAATATTAGTGATCAGACATTAGTTTCCAATGGTGGTTCTGCAACTGTGGCCATGCCTGCTCATCACCTAAGTCCTTACGCTAATCCTTATGCCTTTCAGCATCATGCCTTGACATTTCCGCATCATTTTACTCATCAACCATTCTATTATGTTACACCTGAAAGCTTTTTACAATATCCATCTATTCAACCACCACAGACACATATATCACCCATTCCTCCTCCCGCTGCTCATCTCATCAACACATCATCATCGATCAATTTACCATTAACATCATCATCTAATCAACCACCACAATTATTGGCTTCATCTTCAATACCATCAGCTGCAGCTATTGTAACCACACTTTCTTCTTCATCGATGTCTGCCTCATCTGCAGTATCATCGGCTTCAACAACACCATATCAAAATAATAATCAATCGGGTCAAGAGGTTCGAATTTTAGAAGCTCAAACAAATGTATCCTCATCCGATAACTCCGAACAGCAATCATCATCACCCCCTTCTGCATCGAATGATAAAATCTCTATGATAGAACAAAATGTGCCTTCTCAGTCGATATTTATTCAAGATGAAGAAAACAAAACTAATCAAAATTCTTCCGACCCAATCTCATCTTCACCAACTGAAACTTCTGATGTTAAACAGGCCTCCGATTATCTCAAACTTTGTTTGAATATTTCTGATTCATCTAACAACGATACCGATGATAAAACTGATGTTAAAGATTCCGATCAAATTGCCACTCCCACCGTGATCAATAATAAACCAATAACAAATACTGAAATGATCGAATCAGTAGCCGATGCCTCTTCGGCCCAACAATTGGCTAATAAACAATCTGAGGATCAGTCTTCTTCTTCGAATAAACCTTCCACATGGGCTTCCAAACTTTTTCCTACCAGTATCTCAACTGGACTGAACAATAATATTGAAAATCAGATTCCCAATTCAATAAATAAAGAAGAATCCAAAGTCATTGTAAATACTGATAATATTGCAACCAATTCGGTGGTCACCACAATGACAACCGAAATAAAATCACAAAGTTCACAATCAAATGGTGATTTTCCCGAATTGAATGTGATTGGAAAAAATCATCATTATTCAAATAATCGACGTACGCAAGGCAGATCATCGAATGCTGATCATGATGATTTCAAAAATATAACTGTTATACCAATGAAAAATGATCAGATTGCTTTTAAACTAGCCAAAAGATTGCGCGATAATATTCATTTGAAACATTCGCTTCCAACAATTATGCCTCGAGGATTAATTAATCGAGGAAATTGGTGCTATGTTAATGCTGTAAGTGTATCGAATTAGATTTTAATTACAATATGATGATTTTTTACTTCTCCAAAATAGACTTTACAAGCATTGTTAGCCTGTCCTCCATTTTATAATTTAATGCGTGAAATTTCTGAAACACAAGGACTTTTCCGTCAATCTACATCGACACCGATCATTGACAATTTGTAATAAAGTTTTAATTTGATCAATCATCCATTGGAATTAATGTTCTATTTTTTCATTTTTTATAGTGCCCGTTATTTTGTAAAATTTTTGCCAACAGATAATAAACGTCAGGTAAAAAATGTTGGCAATTCATATCTTGAGGAATTGCTCAATGCCGATCCTTTCGAACCAACATTCATCTATGATACATTAAAACATTGTGGCATGATCAAAAATGATGCACAACGTGGTCATCAAGAAGATGCAGAAGAATTTCTGTCATCTGTTCTTAATGGTTTGAATGAAGAAATGATACATTTATCAAAATTATTAGACGAAACAAATGAAAAGAAAACTAGTGTAGAAAAAACCAATGGCTATAGTTTGGCGGGCGATAAATCGACTTCATTTGATTTAGAGCTCGATGATCAGCTTGGTTTATGCCATGATGTCGATGAAGATGGTGTACAGGATTCATCTAATGATATTTGGCATGAAGTTGGTAATTCAAAACATAAGTCTTTGCCAACTAGATCGGTTCGTGACTTGTTTTTCAATCATAATTTTATTGTATTAATAATATCCATTTTTTCAAACAAAATTAGGCTAAAATAATCTCAACATCAATCACTGAAATTTTCGGTGGATCAACATTAGATATCCGAACTGTAAACAAAGATAAAGATTCTTGTGGTAATAGGCAGCCATTTTTCACACTCCAACTTGATATTAAGGTAATTTTGATTCAAAAACTTTGGAATTATATTATTTACTTTGTTTACTATCTATCCATTAATTATAGCCATCAACTATCAAAACTTTGGATGATGCAATCCGTTGGCAAACAAAATCCGAGACCATTCATGGTTATACATGTTCGAAAACAAAACAAATTGTCGATGCTAGCAGTCAAATGTTTTTGGAGAATCTTCCACCCATTTTGATACTGCATTTAAAGTTGTTTGATTATGAAATCGAAACAAATGCCAGCAAAAAATTGCTAAAAACGATTGAATTTCTTGAAAACTTTGAAATTCCTCGTGAATGTGTCACTGGAAAAATTGATCATCGTTGTCGACGATATAAACTATTGGCAGGTATGATTGAATTAATTTGAATATCGCATTTTTTTCTATATAATGAAAACATTATCTCATTATTTCAGTCGTCTATCATAACGGTACCGAAGTGATAAATGGTCATTACATTACCGATGTATATCATCTTGGTCTGAATCAATGGCTCCGTTGTGATGATTCAAATATTAAAGTGATCTCACTAGCAAAAGTACTCACAGGAAGTGAACGCGAAGGCAACTTGGTGCCTTATCTACTTTTTTATCGACGTTATGATACTCTTCATAGCAATAATTCATCACAATCTTCGGCAAACAATACCAACAATAATAACAACAACAATAATATACAACCAAACAATTCTGGATCAAAACGATCAATTAATAGCGGTAGTGGTAACCATATGGCCAATGAATTTGGTCATCATCATCATCATCACCATCATAATCATCATCATAACAGTGATCAACAAAGTAATAATAATAAGCACCAAGATTCAATGTTGGCCAACAATAAGTTTAGTTCTATTTCTCGTCAACAATATTGATGATCAATGTTATAGAGGTCATAGATTTTTGTTCTATTTAATTTTTGAACATTTTTTTAAAGAAAAAATCATATTAATGATTGATTGATTTTTTTTGTACGTGATAATCACTTTGTCGGAAACACACACACACACATAAACAAACACACTTACAAATGACCGTGATATATATGTAAATTGTATACACTATTCAGATTTATCTATTTGCTGATATTCAAACATACAGAAAACACACACACACACAAATTCATTTGTAATTCAATTTCAGTCGAAAATCATTTTCATTAACACTTTCTTCTAAAAAAAACCCCTATAACACTCTGTCCCATTGTTAAATTTATCATTTTCTTTTAAAAAAGGATGTTTGAAAACTTTCTTTTTTTTTTGTTTGGTTTGATCACACCTACATTGTTTCTTATCCATTAACATTATTATTTTTGTGAGTCTCAAAAAAAACAAAACATAAATACAGTAAAAAAACCCCATTCTTACAATCATTAACAGCAAACAAAAAAAATATATATCAATTTGACCCGATTGTTCTATTTACGATTTAAAAAAAAAAAAAATGATCATCACAATACAAAACAAACAAACAAACAAAAATAACACACTTTTATGGATGTTGAAAATATTTCAGATGTTTTTTTCTTCTTGTAATTGATTTTTTCTTTTCTTTTTTTTTCTTTCATTTTGAATGATTCTTCATTCAATAAATAAACAAAACAAACTAAGAAAAATTGTAATAAATTGTGTGTGTGTTGGTGAAACTGGAAAGAGTTTAACAAATTGCTTGTTTGTTTGTTTCGTTTGATTATTATATTAATTATCAATGTTTTAATTATTACACGAACAAATTATTATTATTATTATTATTATTAGGATTGGAGAATTTTTTTTACAAATATTTTCAATTGTTTCACATATTTGACACTTTTTAAAACACTATCTGAACAACATAATAATCATTATTATTTGAAAGTTACACTGAAAATTTTTTGTTTGTTTGTTTGTTTTGTTTTGCTGAAAAAAAACCAAGTGAAAATGTTCTTCCATTTCAATATTCTATTTGTACAAAAATCAAATCAATCATCAAAATGAGTAATCTTAGGTGGAATTGATATGAAACACGCAGATATTTTTTACAAATTTCTTTTTACCTTTTTTTTCCTGTTTATATTCCACAACAATCCATTTTTTTGGCTTTTTTTCTTCTCTTCCTGCTTCTATACAACTCTTTGGTGGTTACACACACAATCTATGTTTGTTTTGCTGTTTAGGGTAAATGAATGTAAGAAAAACTCATAGAATTATTATTACACATTACATAATCATCAGCCACACCAAACACTGAAACAAAATAAATCAGCCAATAATAAAGTCAATTGTTATTTTTAAAAAAAATTTTAATTACCATTCGAAACAAAATCATTTTTTTTTCCTATTGAAATTAGCTAATACAACAACAACGAAACAAAAAAAAAAAAATACATTCACCTATAGTGTGTATGTATGTATGTGGAAAAAAAATATTTTAATTAATGGGAAATGAGATTCTCTGTGTGTGTGATTAAGATTTGAGCAAAATTTTTTGCTCTTGTAGTTATGATTAACACAAAACTAAAATGAATGAAGACATTTCACTAATTTTTTTCATTTTTGTCTCTGACTAAAGAGATTGGTTGGTTTGATTGGTTTTCTTTGATTTCGGGAATCATTACAGACAGGTAGGCATTACATCTATCATTATCAAATGAATTTTTTGTTTATGATTAAAAAAAAAATTGGCACCTTCTCGCTCGACCCGAGGAGCATGAGACAATACAATTAAATGGTGTAAACACACATTTATAGGAAATATGTGTGTCTAGTTTCGTTGCTGATATTTTGGCATCGAAATTTTCGGTGCAGCATTATAATCTTTACTATAATCTTCATTGATTGAATCATCATTATCTTGTTGTTCATCATCGCCATTTATCGATGAATATAATTGTTCACTATCAAAAATTTCGGCATTTGGTTTTAAACGTAATTTGAATTTTTCATTTCCAGAATTTTTCAACAATTGAAATGGTGATTTAAAACCGGATGGTGGTGGTAATAAATGTTGTTGTGCTCGATTGGTTGACATTGCCATCATTCCTGGTTCATTGAATGGTTTCATTGAAAAAGAATGATGTGGTGGTGGTGGTGGCGGAGGAATCAAACCCATTCGTTCGACTGGATAATGTGGCATCGATTCTAATGTTGTTCCATAATATGGTGGTTGTTGACCAGGATATGAATGCATTGGATTACCCATTGGTGGTAATGGTGGTGGTGGCATCATCGGTGGTGGCATTGGTTTTGGTTCATGATGATCAGATTGTTGTTCATGTTGATGATGATGTAAATAATGTGATGATGATGGTGGTGGTGGCGGTGGCATCATACCATAAGGATGAGGATGAGGATGAGCATAATGTGGTTGATGTGATGAATATTGTGGTTGATGTGCTGAATATTGTTGCATCATTTCTAATGGACTTGATGGCGGTGGTGGAAGTGGAGATAGTGGTGGAGGTTGTGCAACGGAAGCTGATGGATGCATCATATTTTGATATTGATCACTACTATATGCTTTCAGATCCAAGCCATATTCATTAGCGGATGATGCCGATGTTTTAATACTATCGGTTGTTTGTGTTGAACCGGCTGCTGCATATTGATAACCACCACCATAACTAGGTGGTGCACTATATCCACCTCCATCATATTTACTATCACCGAATGATATGCTTGGCGGTGGTGGCATATTCAAAACCAATGGTTTAGCTTCATTTTGGATGGAAATTTTTAATTAATTAATTTAGTTTAGTTTTAATTGATTGATAAGTGTGTAAATGTAAATACCTTTTGGATTTTTAATCAAATTTGCCCCGATAACCAATTGTGGCATTTCCATTCGAGGAAGTTTAACAATTATTGGTGGCACTATATTTGTGTGGGAAAAAAATATTTTTTTTTTGATGATTGATTTGAATTGGATTTAAATAACACTAATACTAACCATGAAGACCTAAATTTAATTTAATACGGCTTTGACGATTATCTTCATATTTTGGTGGATAATAATTTCGTGCAAATACTGTTGATGATAAATAACAAACCAAAATGATTGTGACCATTAATGGCCATAATAATAAATGATTTCTTTTTATTAGCTATATTTAGGACAAAAGAAGTAGAAAAAAATGGCCCACCATTGTTGTTACCATCAATTGATAATGTTCAAATTTTCCAATGATGTGAACTTACAGTCATTTTTTTGTTGTTGGAGGATTTGCTTTGTTCGCGATTCGGTCACTTTCGGTGAAATGAACGGTCAGGTTATTCAATCGTGTTTGGCAATCAAAAACGTATTAAGTTTTTTGTTTTGTTAACTTTTTTTTTGTAAAAAAAATGAAAATCTTCATGCAAACATGTGAATCACCAACATTCAAAATGTTTTATGCTCGAAGAAATGAAAGAAATTTTTATAGCCAAACCAAAATTATATCGAAGAAAAAAATTTATAATTAAGCAAACACGCTTGGATTTGGCGAAAAAAATATATAAATGGATTTGACAAAACTTGTATCATCTCATTTGAAAATGATCAACTTTTCTTCTCAATATAGAAAACGAAAACAAAATATTTGAAGAAAAAAAGAAAACATCGACAACAACCGAATTGATTGTCCTAAATACTCTTCGGCAAGTTTCGATTTGGGTAAGATCATCATCCGTCAATGATCTTCTCTTCTTTTTGTTTTCTAAATTTTCTATTTTAGCCATCCTCATTTACACTATACCGATAATGGTACCTGAAAAATACTAGAAATAAGAAACTAGCAACTCTCATCTAAATTATGTTGTTGTTTTTTTCCCCAGGTTTTTCACAACAGCTATAGCTAAAATTATCCAGAAATACGTTGAAAATTGAAAAGAGAAACTGTTTGTCAAGGAAAAAACCAACAACAACAAAATGAACCAAGAAAAGTAAAAGAGATTTCTATTTTCAGAATTTTTTTTTCCACTTGGTACATCTTCTTGGCAAACATATGCCAATTATACAGGTTTTATCATTGGCAAAAATGATAATTGATGATTCAAAACTAGATTAATCTCTCTCTCTCTCTCTCTCTCTCTTATCTCTATGATGGATATGTCGCGATTTGAAAATTAATAAATTAAGTTTTGTTTTCAAACAAAATTAATTATAGAAAAAAACAAAAAACAAAAACAGGAACTATACAATTTCTTTCATTTTGGACATGGCTAAAGTGAAGATGATGATCATCGAAGATCAAAAATAAAATCCACAAATCCAATTTCGTTTGTGGTATTATCTTTACTAAACAAGGAAACATATGTGTGATTGATAATGATTGCGTGTGATGGATTTTTCCCCCCCCTGTAACAACTTTTTACTTTTCTCATCCATACTACTAATGAAATTATTAATAACTTTTAAAAAAATGACTGATTTGATTGATCCTTATGGTGGTGGTATGGATGACGATGATTATTGCTTTTAATCAAAGCAATAATTATATTCCCACCAGTCATCACCAATATCGATTTTTTTAAATCAATTTACTATCGATCTCTATGTTGAATTTCAAAATGATTTGATTGGAAAATTGTCTCAATGATAATTTCATAAACGTGAATTTAAAGAAAAAAAATCAGGAAACAATAACACTATCGTCGTAGACGATTGATAATTATCAAATGTGAATTATCAATCTCTCTCTAATCATCACATTTTGGAAAGTTGTTTTTTGGCCAATTTTTTGCCAACAACGATAAAACATCATCATTAATCAATGGCAGATGATAATGTTGTGAGAAAAAAATATATATTTTCCTTGTAAAATTTCCAATTTTCAATCGATTTCAAAATATCCAATCCATTTGACCAGAAAAAATGACAAATTTTCTTGTCCGGATGGCACGATTTCATTTTCCTTATGATCATTGGTTTTCGTTTTCCTCCCTATCGTACTTTGAATTATTTCGTTCGAAAAATGAAAAAAAAATTGACATGATGAATTGAATTGAATTCAAATCGTTCAAAGACATCTTTCATTTATTTTCGATACGATTAATCTATTTTAACACGGAGGTAAACCAAAAAAAAAAAAACGATGCAGAAATGTTTGAAAATCTTTTTCCGATTTAGATTAGTTATCTGTTGTTGTTGTTGTTGTTGATGTTTCGAAAACATTTGGTTTTTTTTCGGAACAGAGCTTACGGTGTATTTTCAATTTTTTCTTTTCGATTAGATCCGATCAGTAAAACTAAATGGAAACATGATTTCAATGATGGTAACAAAAAAAAAAAATGTTTGTTAATTAGGAAACAATCTGGAAATTCAGGTTATCAAGATTTTTTTTTTAATAGATTTCGAAGAGTCGTGTAGTTGATCAGTAGTGACTAACACCGAAAAAATTTATATATTTTCTTCAACACAAACGAACGCAAACATCAATTTGAAATGATTTCAAAATGTTTTTCGTCGTTTATTTGTGATATCAACTGGTCATCATAGAAATTGTTCCATACAAAAAAAAATGTAAGTTTGATTATTTTGATTTTGAAAAAAAATTTTTCCAAAATCGATTTGTATAAGTCGAATATTTTTGACAAAAAATCACTGATTCTATAGATGAATATCGATTGGTTATCCAAATAATTTTAAATCGATTAATATCGATAATTTTCTCCCCCCACTCTTTCCCGTCAACACAATTGTCAAAAATTATTATTTTTCATGATAATAATCAATGGGGGAAGTATAAGAAAAACATCTCTTGAAGGTATTTGAAATTTGATTTGATTTGAATATAATCATTTCATATATGACCTTTATCTATTGTCATTTTTTTGAAAAAAATCATTCAGCAAACAAACAAACAAACAAAATAAATAAAATGACGGAAAATTTTTATCAAAAAGTCAAGAGTAGAGTTGTCTGATCGATTCAATCAAATCAGGTATAAAATCCTATCCTAGAGTTGACGATTTTTTTATTATTTCCAAAACAACAATAATAATGATGATGATAAACAAACAAACATGTTGCTTTTAACTGTCTTCCGCATCATTCTTTTTCGGTTTTGAAACATTTTTTGTTGTTGTTGGGGATGTTAGATACAAAACACAAACATGATCGTATTTGAAATTTTTAATGCTGACTACTTGAATAAATAATAATAAATAAATAAGTAAATAAATAATTGATTTTTTTTTCGTTTTGTTTTGTTTGTTTTTTATACATTACAGGAAGAAATTCATTCAAATCAACATCACAATATGATACAGTCAAAAACATCATTAGATGATTGTTTCATAAACTGAAAAGACCGGCTTTCCAGTTTTGGATTATTATTTTTTTTTTTAAATTTGATCTGGAATGATTTTTCCATTTGATCATCATTAGAGATTCATCAATAACATCTAATTTTTAGATTGTTGTTGTTGAGGATTCATTGGTGGCATATATGGACCAGATGGAAATGGAAATGGAGGTGGCATAAACATTGGCATTGGCATCGGTGGCATAATCATGTGTGGTGGAATCATCGGTACCGGCATTGGCATTGGTGGTAGCATTGGCATCATTGGCTGCGTGTTTGATGATGCTGTAGCCATGGTCATGCTTGGCATTGCATTAGCTCCCGAACCTTTAGCTTCGATCACCGGTAGAGCATATTTTGGAGGATGACTAGCTCCATATTGGTTTCCTAGACTTGGATCAGTGCCAACAGTAATCGTTTTTTCAATTCCAACATTTGACATTGTTCCATACGGTCCGCCATAGCCACCGCCAGAAGATGGCATGCCACCATAGCCCATTGAATTTCCGCCGTAACCGCCCATTTGGGCTGGAGGTGGGCCACCGTAACCTCCCATTTGAGCTTGAGAAGGTTCGCTATAACCGCCCATGTTAGCTGGAGGAGGTCCGCCATAACCTCCCATCGGAGCTGGAGGAGATCCGCCATAACCGCCCATTTGAGCTGGTGGAGGACCGCCGTATCCACCCATGGGAGCTGGAGCTTGTTGTTGTTCACCGCCATAACCACCCATAGGAGATGGTGCCTGTTCACCACCACCACCATATCCACCCATTGGAGATGGAGCAGGTTCACCGCCACCGTATCCGCCCATTTGTGGAGCTGGAGCAGATCCCCCACCATAACCACCCGAAGCTTCACCGCCGCTGTATCCACTTGCAGGTTCAGAATATGTCATTGAAGCACCACCACCACCTCCTCCTCCACCTCCATAACTTCCACCTGAATTTTTACTATATCCGCCGGTACCGTAAGTTTTATCATCACCGAATTGAATTTGTGGTGCTAAATTTTTGATTTTGAAAATTTATTACAGATTAGAAGATAATATCGTTCAAGAATACTTACGAGGCGGCATATTAACTTCCAATGGTCTGTATAAATGGAAAATATCGAAAGATTAATGATTCAAAAAATATTTTTTTTACAAAAAAACAAGCCACTTACTTTGCATACGGTTGTTTCATGAAATTGGCTCGAATTGACATTTGTGGGAATTCCATACGTGGCATCTGATAATTGTGAAAGAATTGAGCATTTAACAAAAAACTTCAAATTCATGGTTATGATGATAAAATTACCTTGAGAATAATTGGTGGAACTATTTTTCGATTGTTTCGGTTATGCATAATCAATTAAATTTAATAAATTGTTCATTTCAATACATTGAAATTCACGAACCTGCAATGCCCAAGTTGAGTCGCATTTGCCGTGGCGGTTCTGGTTTGTATGAAGTATATCCCATACCACCGCCGCCATAATTTCCGCCTCCACCATAACTACCACCACCTCCTCCTCCTCCACCACCGCCATAATTACCACCACCACCACCTCCATATTGAGCTCGAACAATTTGACCAACGGTCAATACACAGAACAGAATGATGGATTTATCAAACGGAAACATATTTCATTGAATTTTTAGTCACAACAACAAAAAAAAATTAAAAAATGATCAGATAAAATAAAAACGAAAACACACAGTCCCGACACACACACACAAGCACACAATCAGGAAATCCAAAAAAGCACAAAATGATCACGACAATTTATATCGACGAAAAAAAAAAGTTTTTTTAATGATGATCAATAGGAGAAAAAAATGATGGTCGTCGAATGAAAAAAAAATGTCGACCGTTGTAAGAAAAAGATCTAACTGAATTTCTAATTTATGAATTTATATATGAATTTATTTTTTATATCAATGCTCAAATCAATGAGAAAAAAAACATCTTGAAATTTTTTTTTCTTTCTGATTCCTGATAGACGATGTTTTATGTTTTGTTTTTTTTCTCATAATAAAGAGCAACGACTTGTATATAAAGTTTGAGATCAAAGGAAAGAAAGTGTCTCACCTATAAGGTAATTTTGATGAACTTTTTGTTATTTTTTTTGGAGAAAAAAACACGCGTTTGTCTGTTTGACAACAACAATGTGGCCTATATTTTACAATTTTTTCCCTTTGAAAAAAGATATTTTTCTCTTTTTTTTGTCACTGTGATTTGATTCGCATATGAATAATAAACAAATAAGTTTTTTCAATTTTCAATTTTCTCTCGTTTTTCTCTATTTGAAAAATTTTATACGGGAAAGAAAAACTTTTCGGTTTTTTACAAGTTAATTTCATTGGTAGAAAAAAAATTCAAGATTTTTTTTCCTTTGTTAATATCCTGTTCGTCGTTTTTTTTCACGTTTTTCAGTTTTCAAAACAGTTTGAATTTCAGCATTATGAATTGAATCAACTTTCACCTTCACATTCATAATCTAAAACACTATCATCATCATGAAAGATGTCCGATCATAAATCATATAGATAAATATAAAAAAAGAGAAAAACGAAAGTATTCAAAATAATTAAAACGGATTATTAATTATTCGGACAAAAAAAATATCCGATTCAAGTTCAGATTATCTTACCTGTTGTTGTTTGATGAACAAACACGAGCAACAAGTTCAATCAATTCAGCTTTTGATGATGATATGGTTGAACTACATTAATTTGATGGCTGGTTTTCCATTTAATGATCATCATTATGACGACCTGGACTTCCGGTGTGTGTGTGTGTGTGAACTGTATATGATGATAATGATGATGATTCAAGGAAAAACTTGTTTTTAAAAACAAACGAAAACAATAATAAAAATTCAATGACAGTGATAGTGAAAATTAATTTGTTTTTTTGTTGTTGTTGTAGATGTTTTCTTTTTTTCATTCAAATTGTCGAGGTTAAAGTTCATGGCGAAATTCTTTCGAAATTTTCGGGAATTTTCTCGTCTTTCCTTCGGGCTATAAAAATTAGATTTTATCACCAATCATCATTTCAAAAAAGAAAAATTTTGACAGATGTCAGCTTTTATTTTGACAGCTTATGAATCAATACTTATCGTTTTCATATTAGATTTTTCGTATATCAATAAGCAAAAAAACATAAATGGATAATTTCCGCATCGTTTTACATCTTTGTTGTTTGTATATGTGTTTGCGACCAACATCATCATCGATTAATTCTAAAAACGTAACAATTAAACAAATCAAACAAAATCAAATGAAGGATTACCATCACATAATGTTTCTATCAATAGAACAATAAACAAAACTCAAAAATTTCAGAAATTTCAAACAAAACAAAAAAAAAATCCAAAACTTTGAAAATGATAGTGTTCGATTCGATAGTATCGATTTTTTGGAAAGTTGTTCATTACTATCGAATGCGCAATCGATACTTTTTTTTTCATTGCAAACAAACAAACAAAAAAATATGATTGAAAAAATGTAAATATCCAAACAAAAAACAAAGGATCAATATCATCCATATAATAAATCGATTCCAGATTGAATTCTAAATCTTCCACTAAAGAAAAAAAACAAATCAATGCTTCGTATCGTGTTAACATAGACATTCCTTTTTTTTCAATTATTATTTTCCATTTGAATAATCCAAACAGAGAAATGAACGATGACCAAAATATGCGACATAAAATCAATCATAACGAAAAATGGTTTGTCAAAGATGTTTGCGGAATTATTTGTGCTATATTTTCGTAAGTTTTTAAAATTTTTTGTTTTCTCCTTTTTTGGTTTGTCAAAAAATTTTAACAACAATTTTTTTCCGCTATTTTCAGATACATATTGATTATATTTGCCCAATATGTTTTGATAACTGTTATTTGGATACCTGAAAAGAATACCATTCTTAAAGTGATCAACATAGTTGTATTTGAATTTTTTGTTTTTCTAGCATTTGCTGCTCACCTACGAACAATGTTCACTGACCCAGTAAGTTTTTTTTCATTTCATAAACAAACAAATAATTAACTGAACGAAACAATATTTGATATTTGACACAAAAGGGATCGGTGCCTAAAGGAACTGCAACAAAAGAAGCAATTGAACAATTGGGTAATTTTCAAAATAATGTTTATCAATGAAAAAAAAAACAATAATTTTTGATTTGATCGGATTTACAGGTTTAATCGATGGCCAAGTTCTTTATAAATGTACAAAATGTTCATGTATAAAACCGGAACGTGCACATCATTGTTCAGTTTGTCAACGATGTATATCGAAAATGGATCATCATTGTCCATGGGTTAATAATTGTGTGGGTGAAAATAATCAAAAATTTTTTGTTTTATTTACCGTAAGTGAATGAATATTCGGAATTTAATGTGATTTATGAATTTTTTTGTTTTCTATTTAAAATTTAGTTTTATATTGCAATCATTTCGATACATGCATTAATAATGGTTTTTAATCATTTTATGAAATGTTTGGATAATGAATGGAAACGTATGTAACTAAATTGTAATGAAAAATTTTTTTAAAAATGAAATTTTATTCACAAACAAACAAACATAGTGGATTCCAATTCAACATTATGTGGTACAACATTTAAAGATCCAAAAACTGGTTATGTTATGTCATCATCACCGGCACCGATTAATATTATTCTTTTAATATGTATCGTATTCGAAGGCCTTTTATTTGCTATATTTACATTGATTATGTTTGCTGTACAAATGCAAGCAATTTGGAATGATGAAACAAGTATTGAACAATTGAAAAAAGAAACAAATAAACGTTGGAGCCGTAGACAACGTTGGCGTAATATGCGTGCTGTATTCGGTTTAAAAGGATTTGGTTTAGCTTGGTTTTCACCATTTACCAGAGTTGAATCAATCGTTTATGTTGAATCAAATTATACTGTATGATGATTGCTGATTCATAATGAATATGAATTAATTTTTTTTGTGTAAATAATATATCGTGATTGGAAAAGCAAAACAAAAAAAAAAACCCATATATCATTCTTCGATCATCAAAAGAAAAAACAGGACCATCATCATCAATATTATCGTTGTGATCGATGTTTGTTGATGATCAAGAGTGGTGATCATATCAAATTAAACTTTTAAAAAAACTAACAAAACAAAATTGAATTTAAAAAACATTTCATGTACATAATTTATTAGCCAGCCTCTTTTTTTTACTAGCAATAAAATATGATGATGGCGATTTTATTTTACAAAAAAACAAACATTAATAAACATTGTTTATGCTTTTGTTAATGAAGATGATGTTTGTGTAAATGAATGAATGAATGAATCAAGTAATATCGAAAACAGACTTACGAATGGGAAAAATTTTGTTTTAAAAATTAATTAAAAGCCTTTGAAAAAAATTATTTTGTAAAGTAGTTAATTCAGTGAAAGCATTAATTATTTTTCGATAAAATCAATCAAAAAATGTTATTGCAGTTTAACAGCTTTTTTTCTGTTGGCTTTTAAATATGAGAACATTTGGATATTTTCATTTTTTTGGGATAACATTTTTTCGTTACAAGTTAACCAAAGTTTTTAGTTTTTCGCAACCAATGATATTCCAGATCTTTTTCGTTGGCTGGTTGTCATCAACGATTTTTTTTTTGATTCGATTCGATTTGATTCTGCGTATTGTTACGTTTTCATGTTTAACAAACTCATGATTCGTGAATGATGATATTTTTTTGACGTTTTTGAATTTTTGTTCCTGGATATTGAAAATTTCTTTTCTTCTTCTTTGATTATCGATATTGTGCATCTCACCACCATTATCATCATTTAGTTGAAAGAATCGTTTTTGGAACCAAAAAAAAACGAAAGAAAGAAAGAAGGAAAGCCAATTGAAAAACAAAAGTGTACCCGCCCACATTATCGGACCATAACCGTGGAAATAGTGAATGATTATGTCCAAGAGTGGATTCATTTTTACATCAAAAAATTCATTCGATGTTCATTTTCGATTATTCATCATCATCATCATCATCATCATCACTTCTTTTTTTTTTGAAATTTTTTCTTGTTCGAAGATCAGTGTTTGCGTTGATTTGAATCTTAGTTTACCATTCTATGCCTGTGTTTGTGGATGTTTTTTTCAATGAAAAATTTGTGAGTGAACCACAACAGCAACAATGTATGTATCTGCAATATCCGAACAGCAATTTTGAAGCCACCATTGAATTCATCATCAAACAAAACAAACAAAAAAATGTCAACCAATGTTTGTAAAAGTATTTCCTGTACAACTGAATTATGTGTTTGTCCACCACCACAACCACCACCTGTCATTGCCATTGATAAATCAAACGTGAAAAACATGGATAAAAAGATTGAAAATTGCAGTGATGGCGGCGGTGGTGGTTCAAAAATGATCATATCAAATTCATCATCATCATTAATGAAAGTAAAAAATCATCTTAATCTTTATAATAATAATAATAATAATAATAATGATAAACATCATCAGCATCATTTGTCATCATCATCATCATTATCATCAAAAATTCCTTCCAAAAATCCATCACATCAACAACAACAACATCTTCATCAGATTTGGATTGAAAATAAAAATGAACGTGAACATTGGGATAAAAAAATTGAATTCTTATTGGCTGTTATTGGATTTGCTGTTGATTTGGGTAATGTTTGGCGTTTTCCATACATCTGTTATCGTAATGGTGGTGGTAAGTAATGCAAATATTCAAATGGAGTTTTTCTCCCCCTCTCCCTCCTTCATTATCATATAAATTATTATCCACAAAACAAATTATCATCCAAACCAGGTGCATTTCTCATACCATACTGTATTATGTTGATATTTGGTGGATTGCCATTGTTTTATTTGGAATTAGCACTTGGTCAATATTATAGTAGCGGTTGTTTAACAGTTTGGAAACATCTTTGTCCAATTATGAAAGGTAAGGTTTGATGAATATCTGATCAAGAAGAAGTATTGCTGAATTTCAGAATATTTCCTATTGAAATTCGTTTTTTAAATTCTGTTTTTTAAAAAATCGACATGCAAATTATATTTGAAATAATAGAATTGCCCGAAGATAGAAATTATTCTTTTTCTTTTTTGATATTAAGAAAATGTTTAGCAAATAAATTTTTGTTTGAATAGTTTCTTTTCAAAAAAAAACTATTTCAAAATTTCAAAACAAACATTTTTTTTCGTTTTTTTCGTCCTCTCTTTCTACACACCCTGTAAATAGGTCTTGGATATGCAATCTGTATAATTGACATCTATATGGCAATGTATTATAATACAATAATAGCATGGGCATTATATTATTTTTTCATTTCAATTGGTTCATTAATAAATTTGGAATTACCATGGCAAAATTGTAATAATGAATGGAATACAGAATTATGTCGTACAATGCAACATCGTCGTTTGGAATCCACTATATCCACCATCACCCTTAATAATCAAACTGATTTGGATAATAATTTAACATTGGTTAGTCCGGCTCACGAATATTTTTTGTAAGTATGAAAAAAAAGTGAAAAGTGAACAATTTCATCAGCTTTTTTCTTCTTTTTTAATTGATGATTGATAAAGATTATTCAGTAGTTTCTATGACCATGAATCCTTTCTATTACATTATACAACATTATCAACCTTATAAAAGTCTATTTCTGTAAGAAGAAAACGAATCCATTGTTTTTGTTTTTTTTGTTTTTTTGGTTTTCAACGATAACATATAGTTTGAATAGAAAAGAGAAATTTCATCTTTTTTTTGTGGAAACATAGGGCCATAGAGAGAGAGACAGAATCTTTTCATCATCATCATTTTGATTGCGGTTCCTTGAAACAAGAAATTGAGAAGAAAGTGAGAAAAAGAAGTCTTATCTATGCTAAATAGGTGATGATTATTCTGTTTTTTTTCTTTGGTCGTTATCAATAAACGATGGTAACAAAAAAAATATTCTATGAAAAAAAAATTCATTGCTCAAATCAGGATTGATCGATTCAAGTTTTTTTTGTTTTGTTTCCTCAATCTCCCACTCATGTACAATTTTCTATTTGCAAAAGTCCTTGGTAATCATATTTTTTTTGTTGGCTTCTGTTTCTCTGTCTGTCAAAATATTTGTTGCTAGATAGTCTACCCCAATGAAAAAAAAACAATCAATTTTTCAAGATCTTGAAAACAAAAAAAAAACCAACCGAATATTTTCAATGGAAAAAATTTTTTCTAATGTTTTGTTGCACTTTTTGTTATCTTCTTTCTTTTTTTTTCTTTTGATTCTTCTTCTTCAATAACAACCAGTAATCATGTGCTTCATATTGATGCATCCACTGGCATTGATTCAATTGGACCAATCAAACCATCACTTGCAATTTGCCTTATGATTGTTTTTCTGGTTGTTTATTTTAGCTTATGGAAAGGTGTTAAAAGTACTGGAAAAGCAGTTTGGATAACGGCATTATTTCCATATTTTGTCATTTTTGTATTATTGATACGTGGTACAACATTGGATGGTGCAGCCGATGGTATACGTTTTTATTTATCACCAAAATGGGATCGTCTTTATTCGATCAATGTATGCAATTTGCATATGCTTCCTTCATCACCATAAATCATTTGAAACGTTTTTTACTTTTCTTTTCTTTTTCTTTTCATTCATTAAACAAACAAACAGGTATGGATTGATGCAGCAACACAAATATTTTTTTCATTAGGTCCTGGTTTTGGTACATTAATGGCATTAGCTTCATATAATAAATTTCATAACAACTGTTATCGGTAAATAAATCTATCCTTGTTTGCAAAAAGCAAAAAAAAAACTTTTCATTTTTTTTCAAAATTTTGTTTCAAATCAATCAATCAATATGATACATACATATAGTGATGCAATAATCACCAGTAGTATTAATTGTTTAACAAGTTTTATAGCCGGTTTTGTTACATTTTCAATACTTGGTTATATGGCTAAAAAATTAAATAAAGATATTGAAACGGTTGCTACCGATGGTCCTGGTTTAGTATTTATTGTTTATCCCGAAGCAATTGCAACAATGTATGGTTCAGTATTTTTTTCAATAATTTATTTTCTAATGTTAATCACATTGGGTTTGGATTCAACGGTATGTGTTTATATCCAGTTGATTTTTTTGCTTATTGAATTTATATGGAAATCTTGCTGTTTTTTAACCCTTTTCTCTCACAAACCAAATTCAAAGTTTGGTGGACTAGAAGCAATGATCACTGGTTTATGTGATAATTATCCACAATTATTACGAAAACATCGTGAAATATTTGTTGCCATACTTATTGTATTCATTTATTTATGCGCATTACCAACAACTACTTTTGTAATAAAAAATTTTATTTATATTTTAACAAGATAATTTATAACCACCATACCGAATTACTATTCTAATTTTTTTTATTGGTTTGTTTCAAAAAAAAATGTAGGGTGGAAATTATCTGATAACATTATTGGATACACATGGTACAGCATTATCCGTATTGTTTGTTGTTTTTATTGAAACTATGGCCATTTCTTGGTTTTATGGTAAATACTGTCAACAACCACCACTGATCATTATGACTGTAAATCATATTTTCTTCTTTCTGTCTTTTTTCTCTCTGTTTGTTTTTGTTCATAATTTTAATTTAGGAACGGATAAAATTTCCAATCAAATTAACGAAATGATTGGACATAGACCAAATATATTTTGGCGTGTTTGTTGGAAATGTGTTTGTCCAATATTTCTTGGTGTAAGTCTTTTTTTCTATTTTCTTTGATGATTTGAATAAAAATGTTTCATTTAATGTTTTTCTCTCCTTATTCAATAATTTTCCATACAAAAAACCACAAGTTCATTGCATTTGCAAGCTTAATAAATAAAGAACCATTAAAATTAGGTGATTATATTTATCCAGAATGGTCGGTTAATGTTGGTTGGTTAATAACATTATCATCATTATCATGTATACCAATATATGCATTATATCATTTAATAATACATAAACGTGAAAAATTTTGGCAAAATTTTATTAAATCATCGGCTACCGGCCAAACAACAACAACAACAGCCGAAATGACAAACTTGAATGCTGATGATAATGATTCAGGTGATTTAAAGAATCAACGTCAATTGGATGATACAATAATAATGGGAGATTCTGTTTGAAGAAAAAAAAACGAAAATTGTATTAGTAAAATTCAAAAATTTGATAAACTTTAATTATCGAATAGAGGATTAGATTATTATTATCATTTGTAAATATCATAACTAATTATCACTGATTTTTAGCATTTTTAACCCTTTGTTGTTAATAGATCACAAGTGTGTGTGTGTTGTGTTCGATATAACTACTACTCTATTATCACCCACTATATGTATCTTGTTAAGTTTTTTTTTTTTGTTCTCCCAATAATAATGATGATGATGATGATGATGATGATTAAAACGTAATGAGACGTATTTCACCCGAGCAGAGAAGAAGAAGAACATTCCTAAACATTATTCAATGTAACAAAATTCAAATAATGCTTGTTATTGACGAAACCGAAGAGAAAAAAATCAGAGATTGTTTCACATTCACCACTTACACACACACACAGACAATTATAATTTGAAAATCGTTAGAATTATAATAATAATAATTTTGGAGAAAAGAAACATCAAGGTTTCAATGGATCATTATTATTAATTTTTGTTGTTTTTTTTTTGTTTTGATCGATCATTATCATCAATGATGATCGTGATCAATGTGTGTGTGTGCACCAAAGAAGAATCCACAATTTACTCATTGTCAAACATTTTTTTTCTCATTCGGGATGATAATAGTGTTATAATAATAATTATAATAATCAATTCGAATCGACGAATAGGACGACCGATCGAACAACGATGATGATGACAACCGGCATTGATTTTTTTTTCACTTTTTTTTCTTGTTTCGTTTCGTCTTGGTGAATAAATTGAGTTAATCAAAAATGGATGAAAAAAAATGGTGTTAGAGAAGAAGAATCGAAATGTATCATTGATGTTTGCTCGTTTAAACAATTTATTTCGTCACTTGGTAACCAAACAAATTCATCATCTCAATTTGAAAATGATTCTCTTTTTTTTTCCTTTTTCGTTTGTTTCGGGTACATTCATTGATTTGTTCTCGAAAAACGAAAAAAAATTCCAATCCTGATCAATCAATAAGCATATTTGGAAGTCAATGGCAACAAATTTCGTATGTTCGGTTCGCTCGTTGGTTCGTTTGAAACCAAAAAACAAAAGAAAATAATTCTTTTTTTTATCAAATAAAAAGTTGAAAACAAAAACAACAAAACTAAAATTATCTTTTTCGAAGGGAAAAAACAAAATTCTGTTATTAACGCTGGCCGTTCATAGATGTCGTTGCAAGTGTCAAATGTTCGAAATTCGAATGATTTTTTCGTTCGAATTCGATTTTGATAAAAAAAAAAATATCAAAAAATAACTTTCGATAATATTCGAGGTTATCCGATGTCAATAAACAAACAAACAACCGATGATTTCACTATTTTGTTACTATTCAACATCAGAAACAAAAACAAAATCGTGAAATTCAAACAACAGCAAAAGTGATCAATTACTGCATGCTAAGCGATAATGAATTTGTTTTGTTTTTGTTTTTGTTTTTTCTTCGTTAATGATCTTCATAATTTTTTTTTGTGAATAATAATGATAATAGTGTGTGTGTGATATATGATGTTATTGTGTGTTTGTTTATATGGTCATTATTATCAAAATAATAATTATAATAAAGACAATAGTGAGAGAGTAATGATCACGATTTGTTTTTCAGGTTCATCATCATTATAGAATCATTGTTAAAAAACGAAGATGATGATGTTTTTTTTCATGATCAAAGTCAATGTCTTTTGTTGTTGTTGTTGTTTTTGCTTGTTTCTGATCAAAAGAAAAACAAAACAAACAAACAAACAAGAGACAAAAACATTGTTTCGTTTCGTTTTACTTGACGAAAAATTCGTTTTTTGGTTTTGAAAAAGTTTGATTGAAATGAATTTAGTTTAGTTTTTTCGTAAGGAAAAACATTTAACCAATTTTTTTCCCCTTTTGAATCTCAAATCAAGATATGACTGTATAGGATTTTCATTTCGTCTTTTCCTCAATTTTCCAATTTCAAGAATACAGAGTGTTTCGCCATATACATAAACAAAAAGGGGAAAAGTATGGTGAAACACACTATTTGATCGATCATTTTTTTTTTTTGATATGATTATTATAATGATTATCGTCAATAGATTATTATTATTAAATTGAATTGAGCCAAAACGAAAAAATATTAATAATCTTCGTCATCATCGTTAATCATTCTTGAAGATATCGCCTTTTTTTCTTAACATTTTTCTACAAGAAATAATCGTTTGTTAATGATGATGATGATGATGATAATAATGAAAACAATTGAATGTCGATGGATTTTTTTCACGTGTTTAATATCTTAATCTTATCAACAACAACCAATCGATATTTCATATTGAATATTGAATCAAAAAACGACAACAACAACAAGTCAAATGATTATTCATTTCATTCACTGGACAATGGTTTTTGCTAAAGTATTGTCAATTGAAAAAACAAAGCAAATATTGTTGACAATTAAAATGTTTTTTTGTTTTCACAATTCATTTGTAGAAAGACAAAACAAAAAATTTCCATGATTTCAATGTTAAGGACTTATTAGGGATTTTTTTTTGTTTTTTTGTTTTTCAATTCCATTCAACCAACGTATTTAAAAAGCTTAATAATGCAATGATAATGACGATTATCGTGGATAAGAAGGGATAACGAAAAAAAAACCTCCGCATCAAATTCATCAAAAAAAAGCTGACCATGAATAGAATATATATTTTTTGCTTTTCCCATTAATTCGATTGGGAAAGATGTTTTTTTTCTATTTTCTGAATGAAATTAAGCCATTCTTGTATACAAAGACGTTGGCGATGAATGAATGAAAAAAAATGGAAATTTCAAAATGATTTTCCCTTTTCCCTTTCATTCATTGATAATAGTTATCTCATTTTGAAAAAAAATTCTCATTTACATATCCACAACATTTGATTAGTGGAAAAAAATGTACGTAAAATTAGAAATGAAAAAAACCCCAAAAATGTGATGCGAGAAGGCTTGATGTGATTTTTATTTGATTCAATTTTGTAGTAGGGGGTAGTATGTGTTAAAAAATGATATCATTCATTCATTCATTTATTCGATTGAAATTCTGTCCGTGTTTGGATTCAAAATGAAAAAAAAATTTTTTTTTTTATGATTATCATTGGAAATTTCCAAACAAAAATTGTTGTTGTTGTTGTTCATCATTTGGTAGAGGGAGAGAAAATCATTTTTAGGCAATTTGGTGGCGGAAATGAAATAAAATTAAAATGATTGATTGATTGATTGATTACCTGTTGAAATGTATGTTTTTGTGTGTGTGTTCGTTTTTGTTAAATTTTCCCATTTTTTTCGATTGATCATCATTCAATAATAATATTTTTCTGGGGAAATTTCCAAAAACAACAACAACAACATCTCAATAAACACATTTCAAAATGGATTTATTTAACAAACAAAAAAAAAGAAGTTAAAAATAATAAAATGAAATGAGAGATGCAAACTTTGGATGACAACCATGAACCTTCAATTTTTTTTAAAAAAACAAAACAAAACAAAATTTAATTTTCACCAAGCTTTTTTTTTCTTCTTATCCGTTAATTAAAAATACTACACAAGGATATTCTTCATCTATGTTGTTGTTGGTGTGATGATCGTCAACCATAAATATTTGTAGATTTTTTTTAAAAAAGAAAATAAAATGATAATTATCATTATTAATCGAAATAAACGGGTAATTTATTGTTGATAATGATGAGGATGATAAAGAGTTAAAAATAAACATTTTCAAAAAATATCTTCTTTTGAATTCTTATTTGATAATGATTATAAACTTGATGATAATTGAATTTCTTTTTTCCTCGAAAACGAACAATCCATTAAATGATTGATGACAATAAATGAATTTTTCGGTTTGGGTGCACACGTGTTATTTTGAAAAATTCATTTTAAAAAAAAATCAATCAGGTACGGTACTTTTTTTTGATTGTTATTAAATCATTTTGACGATAATCATTATTTAATGGAAATTTTCTTCCCCCTCTCCCTCTCTTTTACGTTTGTCTACAATGGACAAACAAAAAAATCATCATTTTCATCATCATCCTTGTATAATATCAATTTGACAATGCGATTATCTTGTTGTTGTTGTTGTTGTTGAAATTGACTTAGCGAATGGTTTTGCATAACAACAACAACAACAACAACAAAATTAAAATAAAATAACAATGTCTAATGATGATCAAAATCATCATCATTGTAATAATAAATAATCGATTGTTTCGTAACCGACATATACTATCGAAACATCGAAAATGATTATCATCATTATGTTTTTTTTTTTGCAATTCAATTCAATTCAATCATCATGTTTACAATGTCGAATTAATTTTTTTCTTCTTTGGAAAGTTTTGTTTTTTTGGGATAAAAATTGTTGTAACAAAAACAATTGACAAATTTTTCGTTTGTTGCTTGGCTGGACAATTAAAGCATAGGATCAAGGATATTTTTATCGTTTGAAAAATTGGCTGATAACCTTAGATGAATGCAATGATGGTATGGTCCATCATTCATATCTTGTTGCTGAAATTCACAAGCGCAATAATCATTTATCATTGAGAATTTGTCAGAAATGACAATTCACACACACACACACACAAACTTGTTTTTTTTTTGTAAATTTTGAATGAAAATTTAATTTTGGAAATTAAAAAAAATTTCAAATTCTTTTTCATTGTCAAACCGAATGATTCTTGCGTCGTGTAAATGGGAAAATTGATGAAGAAAAAACAAAAAAACCTTAACCTGACACAAGCAGCAACCTTATGTTCAACTTGTAAATCAATTTTTGTTGTTGTTTTTTAATGGCAGAAAGAAAAAACAGTAATCATTTTCTTTCTTTTGAATGTGTACATATTACATGATGATATTATACATTTTGGCAATCAATTATTATTATTACATTTCGAATGATGTTTTTCGTTCGTTTTCGACATGGATAGATGATGATTGTAACGA